CCGCGAGGTTTTTGAGAAAAAACAAATGATCACCATGATAAAATACAAAAATTTCAAATTTATCATTGATGTGACTTACGGTGCTCTTAAATTTAAAAAAATATATATATATTATATATCAAGAACTAAAAAAAATATTTCCATCTTCGCTTGAAGAAAGATCGGTGAGCTGGGAGCTTACTTTTATCAAGCAAACCAAAATCTCAAATCAAATGAAACTGTGAAAGAAAGAATACTTATGCATATGGGTGATTCATTAAAATTATCGACGAGTTTTTTATGTTTGTTTTAAACATAAATAGAAGTCAAAGGTTAGATTTGAGGCATATATAACAAAAATATCTCCTTTATCAGGTTCTGTAAGTTGCTGCATCCTTTGCAGTGTTCAATGTACAAATTTAACTCAGAAGGTAAAAATTTGCATTTTTCATGATCGTGAAAGGTCACTGGGTTATGCCATCGCATGTAATCTTTGTAACGACTGACCCAATGAATTGCAATCCAGTTAAAATGTCTGAAAAGCTCGTGAATATATTAGCATTTCAAGGGTAACAAGGTAGTTGCGTTGGATTGCATTCCTGGAGGAGGGAAGGTTATGAAAAGTCGCGACCTCTCTAACATCATTGGAGCCTTAGATCGTGGGAAGGTCAATAGCCACGTGGCTAGTTATTACATTGCACGTTTTTGACAAAGCTCACGTGCGGCGCGTGTAGACTGCACGTTTGAGAACCTGCTAAGAACAATGAACATTTTATAGACTACTACCTAAACCTTTTTGTCAAGTTTAATTTGGCAATAACATGAAGGACTGAGATGTCTTGTAAACAATTTTGTTTACAGAGAATGATTCATCGACAACGTAGCAGTGCGTCCGCGTAGTCAATTTTTATTTTTTTTTTGGTAAAAAAAAAATCTTTGACAGAAGTTGCGTAATGGTTTAAGGTAAAAACGTATGTTACGTAATTTTTTAAACTCTCTTACAACCTCGTTACGTAATGTGACTTTCAGATCAAAGAATCGGACCAAAAACTCCCATACCTTACTCTCATAGCTCTAATTTATCTAGGCAATATGAAATACAGTCGGGAATGTGCTTTCAGATGTATAAAAAAATAACTACTCTTGGTATTAAACGGCTGTTCGTGGCTTTCACGAGTCAATGCACGCGTGAAACTGAAATGAAGGCGTAAAAAACTGAAAAAGGGGGGCTGTGAATTTACGTGGGCAAGTTGAATATATAGTGGAAAATTGTGTAAAACTTGTTGATAAAGATGAAATTTGTGCAGTGTTGTATTAATCCGAACTGAATTCTGCGTTAAATTCTAACCTGGTGCAGAATTGGGGAAGGATTGATGTTCATAAAACCTTGAACTCGCTAGTTTTTGAAGGCTTCGGCAATGCTCCTTATCGTCATCTTTCGGTATTTGAAGTCGTTTACAGGTAAGTCGTACGTTTTTTTTTTCAAGATCTCTATTTAAGCATATTGATGAACCTGAATGCAATTATTATCGATCTAGAAGGCAAGAACAATTTCGGTCGAAATGAGCGCCTTGATACACAACATGTTTTGCTCTACATGCATACGTTCCCCAGTTTTCCTTTTGCAATATTTTCTTCCCCCTGTACATCGTTGGTTCTTAGATCATTTAGACAGAAAAATTGAATTTCTGGCAATTTATGGATCGCCTAGCTTGTTTATAGGGGGATTAAATCAAAACGTGAAATAAACAAAAAACTGATGGTGTCCTGTAATTTCTGAGCACCAAATGAAAAGTTTACATCTTGAGGGGTGCTAAGGTTAGCCCAAAGTCTCTTTGCATAGCCGATGAAATCTCAGAAAATGTTGCTAAACGCATTGGCGAGTGAAAAACAGTGGGCAATAATTCATAGGTTATAATTTTTGGGTGGAAATAAGCCATTGCAGCGTTTCTTATTCCAAACGAATGCCGAACGCAAGGAAACTTTGAAAGCTCGCGAGCATATTACGTAATACATCAAATGGCGTCGCTGAACATGTCGACTTTCGCCCTCACACTCTATCAAATGCAGCATCAACAACTAGAGATAAAAAAACGAAATTTTTAAATATAAAACTCGTTTGTGGTTAGTTTATCTTTCAGTCAGTAGGCTATCTCGGGCGTTGAAGGCGAAACATGCTGGGAATTTATGCTCTCTTCATCATGTTCAAGGCATGATATTGAACACCGCGTGAAAGCAACTTTTGCATTTATGCTCTGTTTTGACTTGAAAAAATAGTTAGTAAAAATGAAAAGAAACATCTGCGCTCAGAAAATCCACTGCGTTCGTTATTAATTTTTTGTTCAGATTTTCAGTCGGGTGGTGAGAGGGGATGTTCTGAATCCGTATCATGTATGACCTAATGAGCGTGAAGGAAAATCCGCTTCTGCTGTTTCGCGGCTTTGACTTTGACTTTGAATCAGCGACATTCAAGACACGTTTTTGAGGCAAAAACAATGGTTCAGTTGAATTCTATGTTTAAAGACTGTTTGTTTCGCAAAATTATCAATTCGAATGATTAAACCATAAAGACTAAAGATAACGTACCCACTGCGGAATGAATTCCTTTCGAGATACAACGACCCAATAATACATTGCGAATTTTAGAAAATGAACCGCTACATTTGAACTGTTATACGTTTCATGTTATTTGTTTTTCAATTGGAATATAAAATGAGCCGTCACATGAAAGATAGAACTGTATAAAGTTTGATGGCCTGTAAGTTTGATTTGCAAGGCCTAATACAAGAGTATGCGATTCCGATACTTGAAATAATTCGGGTCAAAAACAGTGTCATTTGCATTGCTGTGTAATGTAAAGAAGCGAAGGAAGAGGTAACAAAATACAGGTACTAGAAAATGTGAAATGGCCCACGAAGGGCTTGTTTTCTGTGAATCTGATTGCCATCTTTAACCACACATACGACAGTGAAACGGCTTTTGCTATGTAACGTATTGTAAGATTCGGCTGCTAAAACCCGAATCGGTACTCACATGAAATCTAAGTCTTAGTTGCATTTCTGTTTAAGATGAAACAGCCAAAGCAACGGAATGAAATACTTTTAGTATGTTCGGTGTTCAAATTGCAATACTTTACTACAAGCGACGGATTCTACCACATAACATAACATGACTTAGACTCGGCTTCAACGCACTTTTGAGTTTTTTTTTCCTCTTAGACTTTTATTAAGCCTAACCCTGCGTAAATCTTGCGAGATTTGTCTAAATGATATGAAAAGTCAGCCTGAGAAAACAAACTAGTCATTGGTTTGTCATAGGTTCGAAATTTTTCGCTATATCTGGGTTTATGCACTTTAATTTGTTTCAGTTGTCGAATTACGTAATTCTTTTTGTCGTAAAGTAGAAATTTGCAGGAAGTTTTAAGACGTGATCGCTTCCTGTGATTCAATAGATTTAGCCAAAGCATCGATCAGATTCACACTAGATATTACCGCAGAAATTGTGCAATTTTGCCTCAGAATATATCCTGTTATTTCACTTTTTCAATTATTTTACCGCAAGTCAGTTGATAGTAAGGAAGTAAAGAAGAGAATTTGCAACATTAAGGTTTTTAGTTTAAAATTTCTAGAGTCATGCAACTTTTAATCATAATTGAATCAATTACGTAACGCTCCTACGACTTTCTAGTAGAATGGCATAAGTCGTCCAAAACAGGACGATGTACAAATATTTTCCGCATAATTTTCATATTCAGAATTTACGCTTTAAGGAAAAGATCACCAAGCAAGAAAAAGCACGATTCATTACTGAGAATTCTGGATCGATAGAGCTCAACATATGGCCGGAGAAATACAAGGAAACGTGGTTTGAAGTTGTTCATTTTCATACATGCTTATATGGTGGCCCTGATAGTATAGTAACGTGATAAATGTGTACAAACAACCATAAAAGTTTCTATAATTTTTCGAAATTGAAAAACACAGTTTCTCCGCTGAAACAACACCTGACTGAGCGAAGCTTGGTTAGAAATTCAAGCTAAGGTTTCTTAGCTAGTGGACTAGTTAAAAGTTTTTGTTGCAGTACAAAGACTACAAAACGAAGCGGTTTTACTATTTTATTGGAGAACGCGTAACCAAAACATACAACTCAGTTTTTTAAAACGATGACGTTAAAAGGAAGGCGAGAATGAGAGAAGGCTTGATACTTACGCAAATATTCAAGGATGAAATGTTTTGTTTCTGCTGCGTTTTTAGCGCTTTCTGCTGTGTTGGTGAAAATGAATTGAGCTCTAATTAAGATTCCGTCCTAATTTCATGCGAATCCCATGCAAGTTGTGCACATGACAGAATCGTACTTCAGCTAAAAAAGGAATCAACTCAGCCATTTCTTTCGACTTTTTATTTTCATTTAATACCATTTCTAGCTGTAAGGATATAGTGATCCTCAGAGAGGCATCAATATGGCGTTTCTAATTGAAAGTTATTATTTGTTTTTCGATATTTTGTCGAAACGTGTCCGAGTAACTTAGTTTCAAGAGGAAACTTCTCTGACTCACATCTTAATCACTGGAATGTTTATAACTCACTGAGTTTGGATAAATATACTCATGGTTGAATAGAAATCTTGGCTATTTGTTTACTTGTACTGGATAAGCCTTGTTTTCGTCGTTACTGCAGCCTCTTGAATATAGCAACCCGAAATATTGATAGTCGAATAAAAGGGCTCTTTAAAGAGATAAGGAAGAACTTTGCGGAATTTTGGCGAGAGATCGAACAAAAGTTACGCCCTATTTCATATCGGGAAAATCTTTGGGGTATGTTTAAGTGATAAAAGTGATTTTCATGTTGCATGCGAACTGAATTTGTCTTAACCTGGTGATTATGCAGTAAAAGTTGATCATAAGCTTCTTGTGTAACCCAGTCTTTTACAGATCTTTTTTCGCTGGGAAGGACTGAAACAGGATAAGTTTGGCGCGAGTGAGTCGAATTTCAAACAAGTCACGTGGACGTTTGCAGCACATGGCAGCATGCAAAATGGCGGACGATGTTGAACGATTCTACAGGTTTCCTGGGTTGTCTTCTGGACGACATGATGTAACGATTTCTGAGTTAAAATCGGCGTCTGCTAGGTTGGATGTAACAGATCTATCGACAGAAATATGTTTTAACGTAAGTATACAAGGAAACAACAAGCTAGACGAGGCTGAATCGAAGAATTTGCTGTGGTTGTTGACGAACTCTTTCGAAGTGGAAAATGTTGGTCGAAGGTCGTTTTTGGATGAATCTGAAGCCCCAGAACTCGGTTACAAAGTAATGATTGAAATTGGACCGAGGCTTAATTTTTCAACAGCTTGGTCGACAAACGCAGTCTCTATTTGTCGTTCGATTGGTTTGGAAAGGATCGACCGCATCGAAAAATCAGTTCGATATTTGATTCATGTCACACCTAAAGACAGGACTGACACGGAAGGCATCACGAAAGACGAGGAGAATGCGCTTGTCGCTAAGCTTCACGACAGAATGACCGAATGTCGTTATGAGAAGCCACTGACGAGTTTTAGAGTGAATGTCAAACCAGAGAGATGCTATGAAGTTGATTTAATAGCCGAGGGCCGTACGGCTTTGGAAAAAGTGAACCGGGATCTTGGACTTGCATTCGACGAGTGGGATCTGGATTACTACACTAAATTATTCCAAGAGAAAGTGAAAAGAAATCCAACCAGTGTGGAATGTTTTGATTTGGCTCAATCAAACAGTGAGCATTCACGCCATTGGTTCTTTAAAGGAAAATTGACAGTTGATGGACAGGATGTGGAAGACTCCTTGTTTAAAATGGTGATGAAAACACAGGAAACAAGCAACAACAACAACGTTATTAAATTTAGTGACAATAGCAGGTACTGACAGTGACGCAAATACAAACAAAAATTTCGGAATAACTGCAAAATACCCCGCATTATTTTATGACCATCTGAGTGATGTAAATGCTTCAAAGAAGGAGGGTTATCAAACGAAAACACTGTTTTGGCCCTCCGATGAAAATCAGTGCCAGGGTATTCTGCAGTTAAGCCCAAATTTTATTTACACTCTACAACAGGTTTTCTCTGAGTTATTTATCAAATAAATGACAAGAAAAGGTATTAATAAGCTTGTACTCAAAATGATGTTGCATGGAAGATTGGAGAAACAAAGAATTTTTATTGCGTGATAAGGAAGGGTGACTAGCATTTATTTTCTCCCTTCAGTATCACCCCTGAATCAAACATTTAGGTCATGAGAGTAAAGGAAATGATCACCAACTTAAGAAGCTCTTTATTAGTAAAGAAATTCTCCTTACCAGCACTATAGGAGATGTCTAGAGAACAGTATGGAGAATATTCATTCTGATGTCAGGGTGTAAAGGGTGAAGTTTTGTTTAGAATAGAATTTTGGTAACTCTTACACAATTAATGACTAACTGATAGACATGGTAAATTTGATGATAAGTCAGAGAGGAATTCAGAATAAGCCATTCTTATTTTTCAGTGCGATTACTGGTTTTGAGGTCTCCTTGCTTCTTCCCCAAGATTGTAAGAAAGCTGCCAAGTTTCAAATGAAGCACAAGTGTCTGAGGCACATCATCTTCACTGCTGAAACACACAACTTTCCCACAGGTTAGAAATGACATCTTTTCAAAGGACTTAAACTTTACCATGCTCCACAGACTTTAACTTCATCCAGATGCCAATGATGCAGTACTTGAAATTCTTGTTTGTACTTTGAAAAAGGTTTAACTGGCAGTAACTAAAGCATTAAAAAGTTCTTTTACTGTCTTGTTGATGATTCAACATTTGTAGGAAATTGTGAAGAATATTTGGGTGAAGTTCTGTGTAATTATTAATGTTGACCTATGATTTAAAAAAAATATGTGGTAAAATCAACTGTATTAAACTAAAGCTAACTTGGAGGTCTTCTTTTACTGGTAGGTGTGGCACCATTCCCAGGAGCGACTACTGGTACAGGAGGGAGGATCCGAGATGTTCAGGCTGCTGGTCGTGGGGCACATGTTGTTGCTGGTACAGCTGGATATTGCTTTGGCAATCTTCATATTCCAGGTGAGAAAGAAAATGTCTGTGTCTTTTTGAAAGGTGATGGGGTGTGCTCAGGAAAAGAAACTGTTCTCAAATGGAGATGAACCTAAGGTCTTTTGTCTTTTTAGGGTAAATTTTCCAAGCACTGAGCAATTTGAGACTAAGATCATTAAATTGGATTCTTGCATGAGAGATATTTGTGATACAGATGTTCTCCTTTTCAGGCAATAACTGTTAAAATTCACACCTTTAACCTTTTAACTCCCATGTGTGACCAAGACAGAATTTCTCCTTACAATGTCAATACAATATCAATCAGATAAGTGACAAGAATAAAGAAAAATATCAATTTGGGGATAATTAGTTAATCCCCAATACTTAATTCTCTGAACTAATGTCATAAGAATTGTATGGTTGACAGTAAGGAGAATTGCAAACTTGGTCTGGGAGTTAAAGGGTTAATACCACTTCTTATTGCCTAAAATCATTTGGAATCTTTGAATATTCATCTGGTGAAAGGATTGCTTTTATTATTAGTTCAAAATAACGGAGAACACTGTATAAGACAGTAAATGGTTCAAGAACATTTAATTATGAAGTTTGGAATTCATTTGTAGCCTTACCCTATTGCTTCCTAGATTTTATAATTTATTCTCCTTACTATTTGCCTGGTTATTTTTTTTTTATCCTCATTGCACATTTTCTCAACGATGTGTTGATATTTTTAACCCTTAACTCCCATAAGTGATTAACATGTAACTTCTCCCTATAATATCCACACATTATTCAACTAACATCTAATGAGAGTACTCAAACTTATCAGGTAGAAGTTAGAAGTTTCGATCTAACACTAAATTCTTGCAATTTATTTACAAGGAAATGTGTAGCAGCTAGAGAGGAGAATTGAAAATCAGATCTTGGGAGTTAAAGGGTTAATGAGAAACTTCCTATTTACTCCTGGGATTGAGCAGGTGGAGCAGATCAGGATTTTTTTTCCACTTCATGCTGAGGAAAACAATGCAAAATAAACATAAGCTGTCTCAAACCAAGATCCAAATTTCCCTTGCAACTATATGTAATTATTTGTTCTTCATTGTCAGGTTATGAACTTCCCTGGGAAGATGCAGAATTTGTGTATCCAAACAACATGGCTCCTCCTGTTGAGATTGCAGTAGAGGCCAGTAATGGAGCATCAGATTACGGCAATAAATTTGGAGAACCAGTCTTGGCTGGGTTTGCCAGGTCATTTGGTATGATGCTACCAAACAGACAGCGACGTGAGTGGGTCAAACCAATCATGTTCAGTGGTGGTATTGGTATGATTGATGGAGAGAATGTGACTAAACTGCAGCCTGAGAAAGGTAAGTTTAACCCTCTACACCCTAATATCAGTAGATGTATTCTCCATACAGTTCTTAATACGTTTCCTAAAGTATTGACAAGGAGAATTTGTTTAACAATCTGGAGCTTCTATCATCAGTGATCATTTCCTTTATTCTTGTGACCTTTATGGGTGATTTTGTGGGGTGATATTGTGAGGAGAAATTAGATGCTAGTCACTCTCAGGCGTTAAAGGGTTAAACACAGCTCCAAAGGGATAGTCTGCTTGTGAGACTGATCCTGAAAGTTTCCAGAGCTCAGCCCAGTTTTCAAAGCACAAAGCAACTGGGGATATTTCCTTATTTAGCTGCTGAAGGATTTATTGAATTTTTGGTTTTACTTAAGGTATATAATTTTTATTTGAGGGTGCCACATATTTGTTATCATATATCCAGAAATAATTCTTAGACTTGTTGAAAGTTCCTGTGTCCTGAGCTATGATTATCATACTGCAATTACTGGGACCAAGGTGCCAGACGACTATATGTTTATTTCAGAGAGACATGCCCTATCCATGTGGTAGTACTTCCTATGAAAATGTGCTCAACATATAACACATGTCAGAAAAAGAAACTGTTGAAGAAGGTTTGATCAGGGAGTATTACCAACATAAACAAATATAACACAGTACTTTTCTTTTAAAGGAATGGAAGTTGTCAAAGTTGGTGGGCCTGTGTATCGTATTGGAGTAGGAGGTGGTGCTGCGTCATCAATTCAGGTTCAAGGAGACAATGAATCAGAGTTGGACTTTGGTGCTGTTCAACGTGGTGATGCTGAAATGGAACAGAAACTTAATAGAGCCATCAGAGCCTGTATTGAGATGGGGTCTGACAACCTGATTTGTAGTATACATGATCAGGGTGCTGGAGGAAATGGTGAGATTTTTATGATATCTGGAAGTAAATGAGTGTTTTGTAGAAGTTTAGATATTGATGAGAGACAAGGATTTCTCATGTCTTTTGTAAGCAACATCTTCACCTTGAATAATGAAAAATATCTACAATTTTTTTTAGTGGCAAAGATGATTCTAGACATACATGTAATTACTGTTGAGTGTTTTACTCCCAGAAGTGATTAAACATGTAACTTCTTCTTGCAATCCCTACTTGTTATCTTGTAAATAAGTAACAAGAACAGAGGAGCTTATCAGCTAGAGGGAAATATTCCAATATAGGACCAAATACTTCTGTCTAAAGACAAGCAAAAATGGCAGTAAGTAGGGAGAATTACTTATTGGATCTTGAGAGTTTAAGGGTTAATGCAGTCTTTATAAGTGGGAGATAATATCAGGGCTGAAGGAAGAAATGAACTCCGAGTCCCATCCCATCCATTCAATATTCTAATTTTTTTAATGAATATTATTTGTAAGAAATTTTATTTCATTGCAAAACATTTCAGGTAATGTTCTTAAAGAGATATCGGAACCAGCAGGGGCTGTTATTCGAGTGAAAGACTTCATTCTTGGTGATCCAACCATTTCTGTTCTGGAGCTGTGGGGTGCTGAGTACCAGGAGAGCAATGCCTTGTTGGTGCGTGCCCAAGACAGAGACCTGCTTCAACAGATATGCGATAGGGAGAAGGTGCCAGTGTCCTTTGTAGGGGAAATAACAGGTTAGATGTGGCATGGATAAATAAGTTGGACTTCTAATGTGTCTTTTAGGAGGAGGATACGGAATGGAAGTTGGTGTAATTTTTGCCCTAACCTGTTGCTGAATTTGGGTGGAGTATGTTGTTGGCTCTGGTCTGCTGTGAGATTTTCATTCAGTTTGTTTTTCTTTCTTTCCTCCTCCCATGAAAATAACAAATTCTGTGATCTGGAAAAAGGAGATTAAAGCCAACTTGTGATTACACCAGATTAATTCAGTTCCATTTGTTTTTGACAGTTACTCCAAACAACTTGAAATCAGACAACTAGTTGTATGTTCCTTCAAACATATCCATTGAGTGTTTTGAGTATATTTTTACCTTAAGTGTTGTTGCAGTTCTTTCCACTCTGTGTAACTACATAGTTTACATGTAGTCCTGTGTGTTTTTTTCTTTTTTTTAACAGTTTATCACACTCCATTCTAAACATATTCAAGTTTTGTGCAATGTTTTGCATGTACAACAGCTTTCAGCCAAGCAGACATTTTTTAAATTGTTTTCCCAAAATTTGTAGGTGATGGGAAAATTGTGCTTGAAGATGAACCTCATACTGACTCAAAGAATGGGCCTTGTTCAGAGGAAAATGGCGTCCCAAGCAAAAGACAGAGAATAGCCACACATCCTGTGGACCTTGAACTTGAAGTTGTACTCGGCAAAATGCCAAGAAAGGTAGTCCATCTCTAAGGGGTGTAACCAAGGAAACAGTCTGCTTGTTAATAATAGAACTGAGCTGGGCCAAGAGAGACTAGTTCACAGTACACCACATCCAGTTTTTTTTCTTTTAAGAGGAACTTGTAACTTTATATTCAGCTTGTAGGTTTTTTGGAAATCAAGTTCACTTAAGTAAAAATTAAAGAAACTTGTAATTTATCTATGATGTTCTTCATTATTTACTTCAATGTATGAAATATAGATATGATTTTCCGTAAGTGGAACATGATGGAGAATCTATAATTATTATGTAGACTACTTGATATTTGCAATTTATACATATTGCTTCCTCCTCTCACAGGTTTTTAAGTTTGAACGTGTAAAGTCGAAGTTAGTTCCATTATGTATACCACCTGAACTCACAGTCAAAGAAATGCTGGAAAGAGTTTTACGTCTGCCAGCTGTTGCCAGTAAGAGATATCTTACGAATAAGGTAGGGTCTCTCTTTTTTTTATTAATCAATATAATAAAAACATCGTACATCATTGTACAGTATATGCTGGTTATTGTTATTCATTTTCATCCAGTGGGTGAATGTGATAAGAATGTATACATGGTATACAAAAAGTATTTTTTAGCTGTATTGTCTGTATTGTCTGTATTGTCTGTATTGTCTGGTTTTATATTTTGGAAGCTGGCTGTTTTGACTGATGAATATTTGTGTATCATTCAACCTTGATGCTTCCAAGAAAGAAGGGTGGTTTCCCGAGAATTTTTTGGATTTATCCAGAATATTCTGTTACAAACTCACCTACACATTGCTTTGCTGAAATTGTTTTTACCATAAGTTTTAAGGTATGCAAATCGTGGCTCTAAAACAAGCACAATCTTGGACAAAATTATTTCCACGACAGGGTAGACTGTAGTTTTGTAATATAATGTCATTGTGTGATAGTGTTGTGAATTGTTGTTGCTTGAAACCTTTTTCCCCTAAGAGAGACCAGCATTCAGTTTCACCCTTCAGTGTCACTGTTGAATCATTTATTGAGGTCAAGAGAATCTAGGTTATGATTGCCAACTAAATAAATTCTGGATTGTTAAACCATTTATTGTTGACAATGCCCTTAGGAAATGTATAGAGGATAATATGCGTTGTAATGTTTGGGAGTAAAGTTTTAAAGTTTTTCATGTTGAGTTACGTTCATCGCCAAGGAGATTATACTTAAACTTGTCACTAAGAAACTGAAACCAGTTGCAAAATTCCTCAATGTCACAGAACCTGGAAAGCGTCCCAAGTTTTTAGTTAGGTTCTGTTGTCTTATATCGTAGGTGAAACATTCTGTTTGCTCTTTAAGGTTGACCGCAGTGTGACTGGTCTGGTTGCCCAGCAACAATGCGTGGGTCCCTTACATACCCCTGTGGCCGACGTGGCGGTTACCGCGCTGACGCATTTTGACACTGTGGGCTCAGCAACCGCAATAGGGGAACAACCAATCAAAGCTCTCGTTGACCCAGGATGTGGCGCACGTATGGCTGTGGGAGAAGCACTGACCAACTTGGTTTTTGCTAGAGTATCAGATTTGAAGGTAAGCTTTACAACTTGAAGAAACTTGAAATTACTGGCGAAAAGCTCAGACTTTTTCGTCTTCCCAGCCTTGTAATATATGATGAAATCTTTCAATGCAACGACAGAGCTCGAATTCTTTTAATCTTTTTAGTCATCTGTTTTTCTTTTAATTTGGTTTTATGAACTGAGCTGATAATGTGCATTGCCACCGTGAAGAGTTTCTAAAACCGATGTGTCGAGCTTAGACCTTCGTTAGAATCTCAGGAAGTGAGATGCTTTGAATGGTGAATTTTAGGTGAACCATTCAACCTGAAAGCTTCCCAGAATAACTGAAATAGTGAGTTGAATTCCACAGAATGACCTCTCTTTAAGGTTTTACTTTCTGTTCTTGGACTCACGGACATCTCGAGATCAGGACGTTTACTTTGGTCAAGAAATTCCCTACTCCTGCCATTTTCAGAAAGACAGAAAAAACTTCTTTCTGTGTAATGGGGGGACCAGTGGGGAAATTCGCCCTTTTACGAAACGCGCCAGGCATGCTGGGTAACCTTGTAAAGGAGTGGCATCTCATTCAGGTGGGAGTGGTAATACTCCTAGTTGCTTCATGCCACACGAATTGGAATAAACTGCGGCGTATTGTGGGCCATTTGGCTTGAGTGCTGATTTAATTTTCTAAATATCCTCTATCCTGACATCAGTCTATGTCATCTGGGTGCAAAGCGTGGTTTTTGAACATAGACATCAAACAAACCTTTTCATATCCTAACTACTGTTCAAACTATGTGAAACATCTTCTCTCCTGTGCCAGGATGTTAAATGCAGTGGTAACTGGATGTGGCCTGCCAAACTACCAGGTGAGGGAGCTGCTCTGTATGATGCTTGCGCAGCCATGTGTGATGTGATGGCATCCCTGGGTGTTGCTGTAGATGGAGGGAAAGATTCCCTCAGCATGGCTGCAAGGGTTGGTCAAGATACAGTCAAATCTCCGGGGTCGCTGGTCATTTCAGTGTATGCTGCCTGTCCTGACATTCGTGCCACAGTCACCCCAGATCTGAAGATTCCAGATGGGAAGGGAAACCTTTTGTGGGTCAAATTTGGCAGCGACTCTAGATACAGACTTGGAGGAAGTGCCCTGGCACAGGTTTACAATCAGCTTGGCAGCGAATCTCCTGATTTAGATAACGCTAAGGTAAGATGACTCTCAAACCCTTGGGGCTTGTTTTATGCATAAAACACAAGTGGTAACATTTGAGTTCGAGTTGGGCCTAGAAGTAATGTTGAGATTAAAAGCTTTCGCTGATCAACGGCACCATCCGGGGGTGATCTGAATATCCAGCGTAGAATTTAGTGATGTTTGTACCCTGGCGGTTTTAATTACCTGAACGTCGCAACGAAGACGCAAAGGTTTGCATCTTCAACTCGTTATAAGTGACGATAGTGTTGTATCGTTGTGTTCCTCTACGATGATAAATGATTGAGGAATACCATTTCAGATTTTTGAAGCCGCGTTCAGAACAACTCAACAGCTGATATCGGAGAGAAGAATCGTCTCTGGCCACGATGTAAGTGATGGGGGACTGGTCACGACCCTCCTGGAAATGGCCTTCGCTGGAAATTGTGGCCTGTCGATTAACATCCCATGCCAAGACAACTTTAATCCGACGGTGAGCAAGGTGGCCGATGTTCTTTTCGCTGAAGAACTGGGAATTGTGGTGGAGGTAAAGGAAGACGAAACTGAGTTTGTCATGAATGCTTTCCTTGCAAAGGATGTTCCTTGCCTGCAGATAGGAAAGGCTGTCGGAGTGGGAGAGGATGCAATGATTTCCCTTCGGGTCAGAGGCGAGCTCGTGCTGGAGCAGAACATGGTTGATCTGCGAGATATCTGGGAGGCCACAAGCTTTCAGCTCGAGCGATTGCAGACAAATCCACGGTGTGTCCAGGAAGAGGAATTTGGTCTTCGAAAGAGACACGCACCAGATTACAAACTGTCATTCAAACCTGTTCCTGCATCTCCACTGGGTGATGTCCGTCCTAAAGTAGCCATTATACGAGAAGAAGGCAGCAATGGCGACAGAGAAATGGTGGCAAGCTTTCACATGGCAGGGTTTGAAGCATGGGATGTTACCATGCATGACCTCTGCAATGGATCCATGAAGCTGGATGGATTCCGTGGTGCCGTGTTCGTGGGTGGCTTTAGCTATGCAGACGTGCTTGGCTCCGCAAAAGGCTGGGCTGCAGTGTGTAACATAAACAGCACTGTGCGCTCACAGTTAGACGCCTTTTTCTCCCGGGAAGACACTTTCAGTTTGGGAGTATGCAATGGCTGTCAGCTGATGGGCTTGCTGGGCTGGGTGGGGCGGGATGCCCATACGACAGGATCCAATCAGGGTGTTTGCTTTACTCACAATGTTTCAGAACGCTTTGAATCTCGTTTCGTGACGGTTTCCATCCAATCCAGTCCAGCCATGATGTTCCGTGGTATGGAGGGGTCTGTCCTTGGTATCTGGGTTGCACACGGTGAAGGACGAATCCAATTCCGCAACGACAGTGTGCTTCAGGATGTCACTACCAACAAGCTAGTTCCCCTGTGCTTCGTGGATGACGACGGTGTTCCAACCACTCAGTACCCGCAGAATCCCAACGGATCCCCGCAGGGTATGGCGGGACTGTGCTCTCCGGATGGCCGACATCTGGCGATGATGCCTCATCCCGAGAGATGCACATTGTTGTGGCAGTGGCCTTGGATGCCGCCTGATTGGCAGGACTCACTGAAAGCATCACCTTGGCTTCAGATGTTCCAAAATGCTTACAAATGGTGCATGGAGACACATAGCGGATAAACTTTTCTTAAGGTTCGATTTACATTTAATGTTTGTTCACCTTGAATATCGTTGTGTAAATGGCGAATGAGATAGGATGGACTATTGGAGACGTTATGTTGTGTGGGATTAGTTGGCTCGGGGATAGACGTAAGTGCTAAAAACCTTGCCAAGAAAATTTAATCTCGTACCCAAATCTTTCGTAAGTGTTAAATCAACGCTTGAAACTCGAAAATCGCACACAAAATTCCATTTTCAAAAACGTCGTGGAAGAGATATCGTCGAAAAATTCCTAGGTGTGAAGTCTTTCCCACCAGCTTTTCTGATGGTCCATCCCTAAATAACGGCTTATTGCTTTGAAGAAAATTACAGCTTCTTCATGTAGATAGTGTGACGAGTTCTTTTCTGCATGTAAGCTGTTGTGTCCCTCTGTGTATATTTTGCTGTCCAGGAGAATGGAACGTTTAATTCAGCAGGGACATTGTCACCCGTTGGCACATTTCCTAACTACATTAAATAAGTTATTTAGCCCTCTGCAAGTCTTTTCCTTGAAGTTAGCTTGTGGAACTCAAAAGTTAAGCAACTAGTTTGGGATATCAGACTTCAGGTGAGAGCAGTTTTGATTGGGTGTTGAAAGTAATCTAGGATTCCTTTTTTTTGGTACTGCGCGACGTGATTGGTTCATAAACAGGACGCTATTATCTCAACCAATCAGGTGTTAAATGGAAACCAATCATGACTTTTTCATCCGCGTTTTCCCGTGCCACGCCTCAAGATTACTTTGGTTTTATTTTTACAACTCTCCTTTAAAATGTAATCCATCACTACTTATTCGAATCTTGTGGATCACTAAGAATATTTATTTTCCCTTAAGGTGAGGGTTTGTAAAAACTCGTGTAATTGTAGACTCTAAATCACCAGGCTCTAAAAAAGACTGAGAGCCATACTATGGGAGAATCCCTGGGAATTCAGGTAGTTTCATTATTTTTAATATCTGAGTGTGATACTAGATACTTTGCGAATAAAATAAATTCGTTTGTACATAGATAATTTTTTTGAGTGGTTGTGTATTTTTTCCCTAGAAAAATAGTGGTAAGTTTCTAAAGAAACTGTGTTGCTGCGTCGGTGGGAGTACCACATGGTAATGGTAATTTGGCATTGCCAACTGAGTTGATAACGTAAGCTGGCCACCGTAAAGAGTTTCAGAGCTGACGTCTCGAGTTAGCGAAGGACTGACGCTCGAAACGTCAGCTTTGAAAGTCTTAACGGTGGCCAATTTACGTTATCAACTCAGTTTACATTACCAAATTACTTAAGAGAAACATAATTGACCCTCGCGACCTAGACTCGTCCTACTGCCTCAGACTTCTGCAACAGCTTGATCAACTCTCAATTGATCGTTGACAACATCATCCCAAAATTTTTCAAAATCACACATTTCACCTAGCCCTTCATTTTGTGTCATTTCCCTGACCCTCTTCCGTTCAAAACTCTCCCTTAGAACTGCAATGCTATCACTGTCGTCGCTTCCGCGTAGAAGGCCACGCTCGTTACTGGCGAGTGGGCCTGGATGGGATTTGTTGGGGTTCTGCAGCATGTTGCGAAGATTCTGCTCCAAGTTTGTAATCTCCTGATTTATAGCGCTCAGACTGTTCTTAACGTGAGTAAAGTCCAGTTCAGGATCCGCTAAAATACGCACATCGTCTGGGAGGATTTGCCGAAGTCTGTGTAGGAGCAGGAATACTTGATTCTTGTTTCTACGAGAAAATGAATTTTATTGAAGCACTTTTAAAAGGTATTTCACGAGGAAGTGCAAGTTTGAGCAAATAATTAATCAATGTATGACAGCTGAAGAAATGTTACGACTTTAGAAGAACATTGACGGAAAAGGAAAAAAGGAAAGAGTGTTAGAAATAAAGCAAGGAAACAGAAACTGTTTCAGGAGCTAATTTTAAATTGAATAATTTGCACCCTCTGAAAAACGAAACGCTGCTTAAAAATTCAATCGTTGCTTACTCGTTACTTTCATTTATCGTTCATTCTCTCTCACTCACCATTGAAAAATTCACATCAACATTTTGTATAAGGTTCACTTCATTTTACCAAAACTTGGGAAGACACCTCCAGATTGCGTGACAATTGAGAAATTCAAGGCAAAAAGAAAATTTTCATCGACCTGCAGCTATGCTGAGGGTGACCAGCGGCTATGCTGAGGGCGACCTGCGGCTATGCTGAGGGCCTCTTAACAACAAATAAACAATTGACAGAAGTTACCTGGTAATAAGGGTTACTTTTCCCCTTTGAAGCTCATCTTTTAGAAGGATTCCCGTGCCACATAAAGGGCCATTCTCACGAAGAACAGAAATGAGTTGGCCAAAAATGTCCTTGTGGTCTCCAGGTTCTCTCTGTACAACTGGCACCTCTTTAATTGAACTCTTCAGAAGTGCAATCATATGGTGGGGACGTGAAATACTGCCTTGTAATAAGAGCTTGAGGGGAAAAATAGCAAATACATTAACTTACAACTGAAGTGAAACACTGAAATGAGAATAAGAGAGATATTGTGACAAGGTTAGGTTTGTCTTTCAAAGGATAGGATCTGTAAGCCCCTTTTGTTTGGGTCCTAAGTTCTTTGGGTATAAGGGGTAATGGGATGTCTAAAGGCAGGACCTTTTGTCAGAAAGTGAAAAAGCAGAGGGTAAGGAGTTTGAGTCCTAGGGGACCTGTCATTTATGAGGGGGGGGGAGAGAATGGCTGGTGCAAATGGAGGGGGGGAGGGTCATTACATTTAATGCAACTAAGAATGGGAGGGTTACCAAAAATTTAAGCTTAGTGTGGGGAGGGTCAGAAGGTTTTGGAACACATGAGGGGTAGAGTTAGTTTTTTTCTGCAGGAAATTTGGAGAGGGAAAATAAAAACAGAGGCACTAGCCATCCCTCCTGCCTCTAAGAAATGACAGCTCCCTTAGGTGTTACATCTTGGCACAAACTCCATCAATGAATAATCCTCTGGTTGAGGAAAGAAGCATTGAAAATGAGTTGCATCAACATTACCTCTGTTTCAATTGAGACTGATCTCAGGGCTGCAATATCTTGATGAAATGATTTGGAATCCAAGTTCCTGCTCACTTGTAGACTGCCATCCATAACCTGTGCTGCACACAATGTTACATGTCCACAGTGCATGGAATGCTGCTCAATACTTCCATTACCATGATAACTTCTCCATGTCATCACAACAGACATGGGACAACGGTCTGACAATGTGAATCTTGGTAGGGAACACACAGCTGTCAATCTGGTTTGGTTGTCTGGTGACAACTGCTGGAGATCAGTCAAAGGTTGAGAATGTTCCACTTTTTTCTTCTTCAAGATTGGAGACTGGACAGAGTCTGAACTCTCTTCTTTCTTTGGATGTTGATGATGACATCTGTGATCACTACAGTACACAGTCTTTGATGAATAGGAAGTATCCATAGTCTGGCTGCTCACAAGTCCAATTGTGAGATCACATACAGCCCTAAAATGTTTAGTAAGAAAAAGTGATGATAAGTTTGTGTTGCATAACATCTCCTTGTCTTGAAATCCAGAACTCTCTACCCAGAGTGAAGTGCTCTTACAGTTATCCCCATTTCTTCAAATGGCCATATGGAATTGTATAACAGTTTTTACCTTGCACCAATATTCTCTACATCAACACCTATTATCCACTGGTCATACAAGATACGCTGCCATATTTCCTTGACATTCAGGGCTGATTCTGGCTCTGAACTCAGGGGGCCACTCATGTCTGCCTTGACTGTGAAAACAAGTTAGAGAAAGCCAAATTACAGCACAGCCCACACATTTCTCCACAAGAAACAGCAAATAAAGCTGCTTCAACAGCAGAGCAAAACTTGTAATTTTTTCAGATTCTGTGTAAATTTCTTCTGAAACACATTGACCACAAAAGGGGAAAGAACAACAACATATTCAAATTTCTTTTTTTTCCAAGTGGTCTAATAGCTGAAAAACAAACCATTATTTCATTTACCTTCTCCAAGATCCCCTTCCAAGAGACACTGGAGACCTGAAGCCTTAAAGAGAAAATAAATTTAAGCTATTATTTCTTACATCTTGTTAACTAAAAACAGTTAAGGTAATTAATAAATCAATATTCTACTAACCATGACTGATAAAATGGGTGAAAAGTTAAGATTTATTGGTTGTTATCAATAAAAACCCTGTGGTTTGTTAACATGACATCATTATCATTATGATCATCTTTATTGTTATCATTAGTGTTGTGGTTGTCATCATCAAAATTATTACATCATTATTATTATCATTAATGCTATTGCTATCATCCTTCATAAGGGTGTTATGTCCATTCACACTGCTCATTCATCAAATCTTGTATCAAGGGTCAAACCTTTTTCCTTTGCTCATTCTTGCCTGCTCCTGAGGGACAAGTTATGTCTTTCAATACTTTACAACAGTGTTCCACCATTTTCAGTTTTTCATTTAATTCCATTTTAGCCTCACGTAAACTAGATCCCCTGGCCTACAATGGAAGAGTTTAGAGAAGCACAAATGTCACTTTCACCACAAATATTTAGAGTAGAATAAGCAGTAGAATAAGCAGTAGAATAAGCAGTAGAATAAGCAGTAAACACAGTAGAGGAAGGAAAACATGAGTGTACAGAGAATGGAAAGCACCAAAGGGGGAAAAGAATTGAAAGTAGGGGAGTAACAGGAGGAAGAGAAGCAGGAGAAAGAACCATGTTGAGCATAAACCAGGAGAGACAGACAGAATGAAAAAATAGTAGGTTAGTGACAAACAGGTGAAGGTGGCTGAGAAGGATGGAGAAAAAAAAAACAAAAAACAAGAAGCAGCAGGAAAAAGGAAGAGTCTTATGTAGAGTGGATAGGGTGGGGAGAAATAAAAAAAAGGAAACTAAAAAAAGGGAGAGAATAAAGGAGAAGAAATACCCTTATGTCAAAAATGTCTTTCTTGTTATGCTTGGAAGTTTATCTTAAAGGTACAAGTAAGCTAACCTGTAGGGTTGTCCTCAGTGCACTTGCAGTTTTCTGCAGCGAGTCTGTTACTGTTTGTGACTGGGCAGAAGGTGAATTCTGCAAATAACCAGATCAATTAACTATCTGATGACCACCTAGAACAGCATAGCATTCTACTCAACTGAATATGGTTATTTACTGTTGAATCAAGATATCATAACAAAACAATAAAAAACTGGCATTGTTTTGAAATACAAACAAAATGGAACTCAAATCAATTTAATTGAATGATGAAGTTATTGTGAAGACATCAAATCTAAGACAATTTTCTTTGCCATAAAATTAAATTGCTCTCTTTTCCAAACTAGTTACCTGATTGCTTTCAATGGCCACCATTCCTTGTGTAACATCTAACAAATAAAACTTGGAAAACTCTCCAGCTGTCATGAAAAAATGGAAAGTTTTATCATTTATCTTCTTCAGAAAGGCAAAAAATTATGAGGTACCAAAAGAGATCAAAGAAAGAAAGTCATGTAAAATTCAATGAAACAATATATGCTAAATCTTATTCCTGGTTTTCCACAGGACATAAAGCAACCAAGAGTTTTGCTACTTCCTCAGGATGGGACCCAGTCCATAGCAGGTCCCTAGTCCCCTCCACACATACACACATTATGTCAATGTTCTCCTACAGTTCCCAATCACTCATTCATTACTCCTGGGTGGAGAGAGATGCTGTGAAAGTGAACTAATTCACCCTAGAACGCAACACAATGACCTATATATGTGATGTTATGCACAACAGTGGTCTTTTAATACCAGAGCACATCCTGGGTGCCTGGAGGTTGGCTGCCACTTGATTGCTGTGGAGAAATTAATATTCCCGACACTTCATGGACCTAGATGAGAAGCTGGGCCCAGCTGTTCAAAGAGTGAATACCAACAGATAAATTGGTATCCAGCAGATAAGTGTTAACAAAAAGTATTGTACTATCCACCAGATAGAGATTTATCCTGTGGATAGTGCTATCCACCCTTCAATGGAGAGGGGCCTGGTTCATGGCTAGCAAAGCACCACCCACCCCATGCAATTTGTCAATTTTCTCTGATAACTGGCTGGAACCAGAGGACTGTTTATACTCCTGGGTGGAAAGAGGTACACCTCATCAGTTTCATGAGGTTTTAATGAAAGATAAAAATTAACTGTCATACTCCTGAGCACTGTGACCGCTTCAGTATCTGCTGCAAGAACATGACACAGTGACCTAACCAGAGCTAAAACGCAGCCCTCTTTATATGGTGGCAGTCATGCTTATGAAATATCACACCATTTAATCATGCACAAGAAACCCTTACTATCAGAAATGGTGAGATTTGGAGGCAATAAAAGAACTTGCTCATTTCCATTTTCTAAGAAGTCATCTGTAAGAACAAATGCAGCCTCCTCCCATTCCTTCAAAACCTGTCAAAAAAAACTATTATTAATAACAATTGTTTCAGTATTGTACAGGTACAATGCTGCTCATAATCTGTGATCATACCTTGCCATAACATTTATTTAATGTTTGTGTTTTTTATTTACCAAATAAACCAAGGAAGGGAGGAAACCAACTAAAATAAATCTGTTATTACCAAAGTTACTAGACAGCCATCAATAATACCCAATTAGAAACAAATACATTCTGGCATGAAATTTAGCCACAGAGTTCTGTATAGTAGCTAGAAAACTCTCTGATTTCAAATGCCCATTAGACTCTTTAACATTAACAGAAAAACCAACTTCTCTCACCACTTAAAGTGTTTTATTATTAAGCCTTCAGACAGCGCTACATACAAGTAAATTAAATAGAGTGTGAACATTTTTAAGTTGAGTAAATTTTAACTTAATCTTACCTGCTTCTTTCTGCAGTCAATCAAAGCAACCCTGTTGGATTTTGATGCTACAATTACCATTGCCTCAGCTAGAGTAAGCTGAAATTGAATAATATCCAAATGATTACAAATTAGTAAATTTTCAATTTGTAAATAAATATCTTAAATTATCACTACCCTAATGGGATCTAGCTTGAGGCACATCCAACTGGGTTATGTGCACAGTGCAGCCAAGAAGCTGAACTTCAGACAACCAATGAACAAATCAAATAAAAAGCAGGTAAGGGCTTAAAACATTGACTTCCTGATTACAAAACTGGTTATGAAAGAACTGTGATAGAAGACTTTAAATATTCTGTACAATATTCTTTTTCCCCATATTTCAGTGTGAAAAATTACAAAGGAAATTCACCCTGATCACAGGCTGCTATAGGTATCAAAGACTCCCATCCATTTTGTTGATACCTACATTGCAGCTTCTGTGAGTCTGGGTCAGGAAGGTAATCTGTGACACACTGAAGTAAAGAACAGCAAACCAACCACTCATTAAAAAAGCTCAAATGTTAAGTTGGCTGCAGTGACTGAGGTTTAAAAAACCCCTCTCGACTGACAATAACTCTTCAACAAGTCTAATGATAATTTCCAATAAGGTTGCCAAAACATTAGTTGCTAAAAGCAAAAGTATATTTGTTACCTCCAGAATCCACATTTTGCAAGGGTCTTTAAATGGCAACTGCCAGTGGGTTTTGAACCTTCCATTCACAAAGCTTAGGAGCTGTCCTCTGTTTGTTGCTAAATACACATTCACATTATCATATGCAGAATTACCCCCAAATTCCCCTACATTTAAGGGTTCTCTTACATGGCAGCATGTTGCTATGGGAACATACAGATTTGGAACCAATGAGACTTCTTGAACATCTTTATGAGTATGATTGACACATGTCCATCTTTCTAAGGTGCTGGCATCATCTGTCATTTCTGATTTTACTCCCATGGAAACAACTTGGCCTCTTAATAACCCACACCAAAATATATTAAATTCCACACCTGATCTTTCATCCATAGAGTTATCAACCGTTACAGAATCAGTTGTAAACTTCTCAAGAACAGCATCATAGCATGCAAAGTACATAACCCCTTCAAAATTCCAACAAACTGTGGGGCCATCACAAAAATAAAATTCAATATTCTGTATTGGTGAGACGTGACTTATCTCACAACTGCCTTGCAGAATAACCGAATCATAGTCTTCTAGAAGCAATACATGCAACTTTTGTGTGCTGGAATGCTTCATGCGAATCTGGCGTAGCAAAATAAAAGGCTGGTACATTCCTGCGGTTGAGTTCATCAAACAACTTGCAGATACGAGTTCTAGTTTGCATCCTAAAATTCCAAGGGGCAACAGTTTCTTTGCAGTTCTTGTGAAGGATCTAGAAGATTTAGAAAAGCCGAAGATTTGAACTTCAATACAGTTTTCATCGTTGCTGCCCGTATTTAAAAGAGAAAAGAACAGCACGTCGCCTCTAAAGGTCGTAAACACTTCGCTGGCGGCCATGTCATCGGCCATGTTACTGAGTCCAAGGCTAGCCACGAAATTCCCGCGAACTTCTGGTGGTTACCAACCCCCAGTCTTCTCTGAGTCTTCCGGAAGTTCTTAGGTGAGGTGCTATGCGACCTAGCCGTGAGCCCGTATGACAACGTTTTCCCTACACTAATTAAAATAGAAATTCCACGCCCTCACAGAAACGCTAAAGGTATGCTGGAATAATACCTATTCTAATCAGTGGAACGAAAACATTGCCACAAGGGCTTTCCCTATTAATGCCTCGAGAGCTAGTTCGGTGTTTTTGTTAGCCAATAAATGGTTCTTATTATTCTTTGTCCACAAACGTTGAATTTAAGACTGAACGATGAAAAAAAGGCCCATTTATGTTAAAACTGACTTATCTGGCCAGTCAGGTCCGCCTTAGTATAACTAATTACCGGGATAAAAGCTCGATAAAATATCGCAAAATGACGTGTTTTGATGTCTCTCGGAAACGCCTGATCAAACCGATTTCGCCCAGTTCACGTGTTCAGCGACTAGGGATTCTCACGAGGAAATAGGGTCTATAATGTAGGTCTAACTTAGGGAAACCTGTCAAAACTCCATCATCTTTTCCGTATATTCCTGGTCCTTGATGCTATTTAAAAGCTTCCTTAGCTCACCATCGGTGTTTCTCGTCATTGTTCATGGAACATTTTCAGACTTCATGAATTTTAAATCCCGTTAAGATTTTTGTTACAATGCTGTTACATGCTTCTACGCCTCCCCCAACACACACTCTCTTTATTCAGAGGACAAGCAGAATAAAATTTTTTTAGTTACAATTGCCACTCGCTATCACCATACCATCTTAGCGCAAACCCAACCAAGGGTCTTAAAAATGGTATAAAAGGCATCCACCATAACCTTACCAACGTAGATAGTGATTTTTGTGTGTAACGAAGCAATGAGCAACGGAGCCGTAAGAGGCTTGGGAGGGAAAATAGTTTCGCCGCAAATCACAGCGCACATAAAACCGAGAAACAAATCAACCTGCTACACAGGCGATCCATGACGGTTTACAGCTATTTCCTTTAATATCATTCATTGTAAGAAATCTACAAAATACCAGCTTGCTTTAAATAGATAAAGCATAATAACTCTCTACAAAAGCGAAAACATTAAAAATTTAAACAAGCAAACTATCAGCACTATTTATAGTGATGGTCATATTTTGTAGATCGGGATCATCATTAAATGTTGCTATATAAAAAAACCTGGTAATGGCCAAGGGGCTTGCTTTCAGGTTGTCAGCACGTGATTTTCTCACGAAAGTTATAGAAATCTACAAAAGCTAGAAGTAATAGTGTTTTAAAAGCATACAACTTCTTTCATATAGCTCAAATCTAAAGGGTAAATCTTTTCGAAAAATCGCAAATTTTCTCTTTTCTTTACCTTATTTCTCTTCTACAGTTCTATGAACATTAAAATTTTCTTGCCTTTTTTTGCATGACAGAGGCTGTTTCCTACATTTGAAAATTTTGCTTGGATTTTGGCGCACGGCTGGCAAAATTCATCCGCTTGCGCGTGTCTGACGTTTGATTAGTACGCGAGGGAAGAGCTTTACGACAATACAAGATGTTGTTCCCAGTCTCTTCCCGTCATAAAATTAATTTTGTGTTTCCTATGCCAATAAGCTAAAGGAACTGTACAAGGAGAAGGTAGAATACAAGTAATCTAATTGTCCTACGCTCCCTTCACGTAATACGTCTCAGAGAAAAACAGCGATACTATGTCGGAGGCAGTAAACATTCATCTCGTTCAAGAACGTATGGGGTCCACCGTAGGCGAAGCTAAATTTTTAATCGTCAGTCTCGATCTCTTGTTTATCACCAGCACTGTCATCATCACCATTCGCAACTGGAAAAAAAAAATTTAAATATGAACCTCATTATCTAGACTTAAAAGCCATCGAGATGGGTGAGGGGCTGGTTAAATTTCTTATTTTGTCAAAGTTTATGAGAGAATATCTCATCGGCCACCGATGACTTTATTAAAGGACATGATTCTTTATTTTTTAATGTGACTGACCTGCAAGCCTGTCAACTTTTTCAAATATCTCATCCAGTAATCCGGTTATAACGTCATTAGAGCTTTGGGAATCTGTTGATATCGGTAGGGTAGGATCCATAAGCAATGAAGTCTTGCTTCCCACCGCGCCAAAGTCAACGGCTAGATCTAGTCCTTGCGGGGAAATTTCAGAATGCGCATGATCTGTCCTTTCCTGGTGATCGTCGGCGTCGGTCTGAACCTCTGCATCTTTGGTTTTTCCTTCCTCCAACATCTCATGCTCGTTGAAGCCGTAGATAGAGCCCTCTGACAGCATTATGATTAATAAAAATACATACATATTAACAACAAAATTTATTTATGTTGGCAATTAAAATACATATTTAACTAGTACCTCGAACGGTGACTAACCATTTGAAATATGAAACTTTAATCAAAAACCGTCACGAAGGCCTTGAGAAACTCTCACAAAATTTTAAATTGTTTAACCCAATATTGAGACCAAGAAAATAGAAAAAACTGAACGTGATAAAAAGGTTTAAACTCGGTGGCCTCGTGGTACCGTTCCAAGATGCCCGTCACCGCGCATGCACAAAAAATTTAAATGTCCCTTATGGGTAACCAAGCGACGGCTGGGTGTCGACCAGCCCCAACACAAACAATCCCTTCCTGCAAGATAGCGAAGCTAATCGAGGCGGAAGGGAAACAAACATTAAGATAAATTCTTCAGTGACAAGTTTGACTGAACAAAGGAAATGACTGGGAGAGCATGCATATACACGAACCATGAAAAAAAGTAAGATAAGTTATAGATAAGCCAATTAGGCATTACATATTACAACTGGAATAAAATTACACGCCAAAAAGAAAAGAACAACAAAAACAAAAATGAAATAAAAAATATTATCATTTTCTAAATTTATCAATTAAAGTATGGACGTCAACATTAGTATTCTCTCGCATCTAAATGTTCAGCAGCTGTCTACGCAGTAGTCTTAAATTTGCACTTAAGCAGAGAACAAAGACAGATGGGAGTGCTATTCCAGATCCTTGCACCCAGTCTTGATAAAGAATTTTTCATATGTTCTGTTCTCAAATGTTTAAGATAGAGATTGCCAGCCGCTGAGGACCTTGTATAATAGTGATATTTTTCTGAAGAATAACTAGTTAATTCTGAAATGTTAGGAGGTGTTAGATTGTTGACGAAATCATGCATAAAAAAAACATACAGTTTCGAAATAGATAAGATGAGGAGGGAGAATGTTTGACATGTTGAACAAAGGTACAGCATGGAAGATAAAGGGTTTGAAAAATATTATGCGGAGAGCACGTTTTTGCAAAATCAACACCTTTTTTGGGTGGCCCCAGACTGCAACCCCCTAAGACAAATAAGATTGAAAAAGAGATCGATATATGTTAAGCAATACAGTTTGTGGGACAAAATATCTCAATCTTGATAAAATGCCTTAAGACTTGCTAATTTTAGATTAAATAAATGCAATTTGTTGAGTCCAAGATAATTTGGAATCGATAAGGACACCAAGGTATTTTATATATTCTTTCCATTCCAGAGAGACAAAGGAATTGTTGCTATTTTCAAAGATATTTATGTTCACTTCATAATCAACACGTTTTTGATACGGTCTGAATATAGCACAGTTGGATTTTTTGACGTTTTTTTCCTCGTTAATTGTTTATTCAAGGGAACAAACCTTTTTTGCCTGGCTTCAACACCCTCACTCCACCAATCTGTGTTTTAAGCATGTCAAAGAGTTTATACTCGAAGTAACATGTCAGACTGTCTGTTTCCGCGGATTCCAGTTCACATTTCTGAATGGAAGACGACACCTCTTCAATTAGTTTAAAAATGTTAGGCTTCTCCTCGACCAAAGCACTGTCATTCTTTTTGCACTTCTCGATCAAAGAGTAAGCCAAATCACACTTCTCTTCAACATTTGCCATGACTCTAGACAAGGAGAAAATAAAACGATATTTCCTTAATGTAGATCATGAACGTTGTGTCATTTCCAAGTTCAGTTAGAACTACAGTTGATTAGTGTAAATCTACTAGCGATCTATCACAAATGCTGCAATCTGAGTGGCCAGGCTATTCGCTTTCTATTTGGTAAATAGATTCCATACTGCCGAGCCGTGTCTGTTCAGTAGTAAATCACAGGTTATGTTAAAACGTTGTAAGAACAAATCATGGCACACAAGATGCAGCCAAGTGTGTCACTGATGTGTCGAGAAAGTAATTTTCGAAGTGAATGGTGTACTTTGAAGACTTCGTTTCTCTGCTCTCGGTGTATTTAAAAAATTTCTTACTAATCTTCACGTGCATACTTCAGGTGAAGTTCATTTTTAACAGCCAATGATGACTAGGAACACCTTTTTTTTATTTTTTCAAACAAAATTTCCTCAAAGAAACTCTTCATACCTATCCTGAGCGTCCATGGGTGCTATCTTCTCGTTAGTTTTGTCATCAATCTCACTCTTCAGCGCTCTCTCTCCGCTATCCAAGCATGTTCTTAACAAAGCCATGTGTTTCGCAACTCTGTCTCGCAGGTAAAGTTGAGTTTGCAAAATGGAGTCTTTCTTATCCTTCAGTTTCTTTCTAGACTTCTTAATCAACTCGAAATGATCCTCTAACTTTTTAGTTTCGCTGAAAAGTTCCTCTCGTGCTCCGGTGGCCATGTTGGCAACAAGCTCACATTTATGATCGGTATGTTCGCCATACACCTAATGGAGATCAGCAAACAACGACTGAGCAACCTATAGTACCCTCTTTATACCCTGTTGGTAACGACTGATTCCTTCCAGGAATTGAAAAAATATTAAAACATCCCGGCCTGGGTATAAAAATAAATCTTCTTTTGCCTCGTGCCGTTCCGAAATAGGAATTGGTGTCCAGCGAAGTCTCCTTCGCAGTCACGAAATTACGTGACATCCCAAAAAGCGGCTGCGAAGGAGACTAGCACTAGCTGCACTTTAGTAACTTTGAGTCAATAAGAACTAGTTTCTATACCTGACAGACTAGGCAAATAAGACAGTTATCAGTGTGACAGTACACTTTCAAAACTTCATCATGCTCCGGACAAATGTATTTCTTCTGCTTTTCCAAGGCCTTTTCGAATTCTGAAGGCTCTTCACTTGAATTTTCCTCCGCTGTAAGTTAGATGCAAAGAATGTGTTAAAATGAGTGTGATGCCGAATAATTCACCTAACACTCCAACTCTTCCACAGCATTTAGCACCAATGATCTCTTCCCTCCTTAAGGCTCTACGATCACGATAATAAAAGATGCATGCTAGATTTGAAATAGAATGATTTTCAATTGAGTCGAAGGTAATGTACGGCCTCTTCATTTTCATAACTCGCGCTACTTACTCAATTAATAACATAAATTCAATTCGTTAAAACACCTTTTAAAGAGATTTTTATTTTTTAAGAACAACTATAAATAAAGATACAATTGTATCAATTGGAATGAATTGTATAAAATGGAACTTTAATTTGGGCGGAAGTCAAAAAGCGATAATGCGCGCTTCAAACTTTTTCACCATTTACACCCTAACATCAGCATTCATATTCTCCATACTGTTCTCTGTACATTTACTAAGGTGCTGACAAGGAGAATTTGTCTAACAATCAAGAGTTTCTTTGGTTGGTGATCACTTCCTTCATTCTCGTGACATTAATGTGTGATTCAGTGGTGATATTGTAGAGGACACACATGTCGGACAATAATTGGTCGACATGCGAACGATACTTAAGATCCACTTTATCCACATTTAGCCAACACTTAGCAGATTCTTTACCGACACTCGGCTGACACTCCTGTCACTTGGTCAGCTCTTGATACTGAGCTCTTTCTTCTCAACTCAAATAGTCGCTTATTTTCTCTAGTTCTTTGAAACTCTTCTTTCTTGTCTCCTGAGGGTGAGGCCGGAAGGGGCTAAGAGACAGCTGCCAATTCCCATCATAACATATACCACCGGCAGACCACCGATACATCACTGACACTCGACCAATTTGCCGTCGACTGTTAATCGCAACGTAATGGTCGAGGTGTCGGCTAAGTGTCGACTCACATTACCGACCAAGTATCGACCAATAGCGGCGACTAACAGTCCACCAACTTGAATAACACGACGACTGACAGTTGGCTAACTATTGGTCGATACTTGGCCGACAGATGCCTTAAACGCACATGATCCCATTAACGTTTCAATAAATCGCATAAATCTCTGTTATAACATATCACCACCAGTACCTTCAGCTGGTATACATGCGCGCCCTGTGTTATAGTAATCTTCTATTCTGAGCTCCTGTTGATTAAGAGAAAGCTGCCTTCAATAAGGAATTATCATCCTATCTTAGTGGTAAAAGAGGTATGTGATACCAGTATGTGGTTGTAAGGTTATATGTCCCTTACATTTCCTAATTCATACAAATCCCGCAAAGCTATAATATTAGTTTCTGTGGCTTATGTAATAGACCTGATTTGCATTTTCCTACCTGGACTGAAGCTACCTAGCAAAATTTTCTCTGGTGGTCTAGGGAAGACTAAAATCAGTATAAATAACCGTGAATATATGGAAATCATTCATGCTAACGGCGGATTAATAAATGAATATGAGAATGATCTTTGCAGCGATGAACACCACTTAAGCAGTAATGTAAGAAAGTCTGAAAAAATTTAGGCCTCTGTACCGAAGATGAACCCATGACGCAGCTCGGTGATACTGCTAAAATGCTCTACCAACTTAGCTAACAAATTAAGCCAAATAGGAGCTAGTTATTATGTTGGTTTGAATAAACTCGTGAAGTGATGAATAAAAATAACTGCAAATGCATGAGAAACATAAATGTGAACTGAAAATGAAAGTGATCTTTGCACTATTCACAATATTCATTACTGCAAAGGTCACTCTCATATTTATTCAAAATGAGTATGTGGTAAAAGGATAGTATCAATATACAGGGGTGGAAGTGGTAGAAAAGCCATCCAACATGATATGACTACTATTTGGAAACCGCAAACAAAGACAGTCCGCATTGTCAATTAAGATACAAAGTCATCTCTTAGTTGTTTCTCTCTTTTTTTCAGAGTGTAAGTAAGACAAAAGATGGATAGATTTTCTCAATCTAATGCCGTCAACCCTTGGGTTTCTTTTTTACTCAAATTTGATGTCCAAGATTTCATTACAATAGCATTCAATATTGTGTCTTTGTAACACACCTCTAAGCTCTTCCTATTATAAGTTGACATTACAGTGATGCAATGATGTCTGACACTGATGTTCGTGGTTATGCCATTCTTAACCATAGAGTCAGTTCCTTTGACAACCTGAAGAATAAGAATATTACTTTAGAGTTTAGCAATAAAGATGAGTTATTGACCAAGCTGTACACCAGCCAAGTTCTTTAATGTATCTTTCTGGACTGAGATGATACCAATATCCAGCTATCTTAACTAAACAGCTAGGATTTAAGTCAAAGAATTGCTGCATGAATTTCCAAAAATTGTTGTGGTTTTCTTTGTTTTGACCATTGAAAATGTCTTTGTGAAAAAAAGGTTACCTTAAGGCTACAGAGAGTAAAAATCACCTGCCAATAGCCAATCAAAAAACAATGTTTGCTTTATAGTCCTGCCTGTTCTTACAATTAGTCCTACGACAGTCAAGTATCATGTCCTTCACTTACAACGAACTTAACATCTGTCCCACTGTTACTTGATTTTCCTGTTAAAGAAAGTGCAACAGAAATCAGAGAAAAAAATTAGCACTCAACAGCATTCTTTACATTTGAGACATGGGGTCTCCAATTTGAAAACAAGGGTCTCAGCACCTTGGCAAGTCTTAGATTTATTACTTGCCAATTGTACTAAATGACAGGGGCAAGAGGAGTTTTTCTACCCCTACAGTTCAATTTATACTTATAATGCATAGATACTGTACTAATTGGAGCTCACAACACGAACCACATGCTTGCCATTTTTTAATGTCAACTGCATGTACTTACCGTCCGTAACTGCAAGAGGTCTGGATCCTAATATATTACACTTTTCCCCAAACAAGTGAGAGGAATTATATGCAAGGGTTACATACCAACTAACATGTCAACATAAAGAAACAGGTTCGGTGCTCTACAGAACTTAGAATGTTCAAAGTCCACAAATAAGTCTTTGTGGTGGTCTCCTTTCTCAACTGGGGTATTTGTGCACTGGCTCTGGTGTTGAACATAGACTTGTATCTTCTATCATTTCTGGGAAACTGGAAAATTCACCACACTGTCTTGGCCAGAATATTCTCCAGGTTTTGTTGTACTGGACACATCCACAAGTGATGGAAGGGAAACACCTGGATCACTCATCTTCTAACCCTGGGCCTCCTTAAAAAATCTCAACCATATTCTAAAACTCATTCTTCCACCTCGGAACTTAAAGATTGTTATGCTGTCTTCTTCAAGTGATCAACATGCACAAATTTTACCTGGTTCCTGCAATGGAAAAGATAAGTGTGTGGAACTTTCACCCTGTAAATCCTCCTTGCAATCCATCTTGCAACTCCATGACACTGGTTGCCAACTAGAGCAACTTCATTTAACTTGAATGGCTACAGCTTCACCCTCCCATCATTGTGATGCTGCTTCTGTTTAAATTGATGTTCCCCTACAGCTTTGTTAAGATCTGGTTTTTATATAAAACAGTTCCTAATTTGTCTTTCAAGAAAAAGTTCAGCAGGAGAATGCTCTGTGACAGTGTGAGGTATGTTACGGTTAAGAATTAGGAAATTGGCTAGCCCATGTTCCAAAGTAAATTTACTGTTAGTATTTCTTCACCTATAAGCTGAGCGATTTTTTCAGTATCTGACACAAAAGTTTGGGGATTTTTTCACAAGAAACGAGGTTTGGCTTATAGTCAAGGGTTCATTCTTGTTCATTAGCATTTGTGTTCATTGAGCCATTACCCAATTTTTTCCGTGAGGTTCACTCACTCAAATGGCCAGTTACAATCAAGAATTTCGCTCTTGGCTTACAGCTGATGGTTTTGCTTTTTCTTTTGGACAACACGAGTCTGTTGGAAGGTCTCTAACTGTTAGGGTTAGAAATACGGTAATTGTTTTCGCATCAAGTAATGGTTTAGTCAGAGCTAGTTTGGCCATATGCTCTGAGAGTTCTTCAGCTCCAATTAATGCAGGATGATATGGCAGAACATGTTTGACCTTGACACCATTCTGTCTAATGAACTGAATGATTTCTACTGCCGCCAGTTACAGTCCATTTTTGGAAACAACCTCATTGGGAATTCTGTGACATGTAAACAAAGTATGCAGTACTGCAATGGTCTTTAAAGTGGTCATGGAGCTCATTGGGATCACTTCTTACCATTTGGAATATGCATCAATGACAATCAGAAAATTCAGCCTGTCCTGCTAAAAGAAATAAATGTGTACATGCTCCCACAGCTTCACAAGCCATCTCCTCATGGGTAAAGGTGCTTTACGCACCAACTTGCCCACAGAAGCACAAATATGACAAGCACTGGCTCTTTCTTCAATCTCATCATCCATTCCAGACCATCATAATTATCCTCTTGCTAGAGACTTCATTCAACACATACCATGGTGCTCTTGATATAGATCATTCAATAGACATTCCTAATACATGTCAGGAATAACAACTCACAAGCCTATGTGGAAATTATGGCTGAGGCCATGCATGCAAGGTGAAGGATGCAGACTAAGACAAGTTAAGACGGGTTCCTTCCTGTAGTCAAAGCTATGTCTTTAACAGTAACCAGCAGCTCATCCAGGTAACTGATCAAATAAACTTCTTCTTGCAATCTGTCATGAGCAGTCCATGACACAATTAAGTCTGGACAAAGCATCAGCATTCACATGTTCAGCTGACGTCTTATACTCAATCTCGAGCTAGTATGTGGCTAAAATCAGGGCCCAATCTTTGCAATCTGGCTGCTGCCAATGGAGGCACCCCTGTCTTCGGACCAAAAATAGTGAATAAGGGCTTGTGATTTGTTTGCAACATAAACTTGAGGCCATAAAGGTATGAATGAAACTTCTTCACCATGAACACAATGGACAACGCCTCTTTTCAATCTGTGAGTAGTTACAATCACTGGCAGTGAGAGTCCAAGAAGCGAAGTCGATCAGTGGTTTTTCCTCTCCCCTCTCCATTAGATGAGAAATTACAGCTCTTAACCCATAACAGATGCATCACACACTATAGGCAAGGTGGTTTCTTCAGGTTGCAATGAACTAACAAAGGAGAATCTTGTAATTTCTCTTTGCTCTCAACAAATTCTCTCTCACATTCCTCTGTCCACTTTCAAGGCATGTCCTTCTGCAAAAGGTCATGTGGGGGTGGAGGGTAATGGCCAAATTCAAAACAAACTTCCCATTTGTGATATGTGAAATATTCTGTCTAAAGTACACACAAGACATGCATTTTTTCTAAAATTTGTGCTAAAAATGGGATCAGGACCTCCCCCCTCCCCCTTAATACCCTCTGAGTACCACCTTGTTGCTGTCCAAAAGTACCAACTGTAATGATGTTGTGCCAAACAAGCAATCACCTAGGCCCTAAGTTTGACTGGAACCACCAAAGGACTTATAGTTATTGAAATTAAACATAGAATCTAATAAAGATTATTTATGTGTATCATTATTGGTAATTAATACTTAAGCTGCAATTATTAAAAATTCAGAGTTTGAAATAATAGCAATTTTTACTCACCCTGAGTAGTTGATTCTTGTCCAAAAGGACCTGGAGTGGGTTTACTCCCAAACCCTCCAAACAAGCTGGATGTACTTCCAAATGACAAGCCACTTCCAAATGCTGATTGTTTAAGAAAATGATATGCACCATTAGTACATTCTGTACAGGTGAATAGTGCTCTTCACAAGTGCTGATTGGCAGGTATTGAAGTGATTAGCTACCACCATTCACCTCCGAGTAGCTGAAGAGACAAAATCCTACATAATCAATTTAATTTCCAACCAATTTTTGGTTTCTTTGTGGTATGTACTAAAACAGTTATTTACTTCTATGTCAGTGAAAGTGGTGGATATTCACCTTGCTGCTTTGCGGCATGGTAAATGTCCACCACTATTTACCTCCACTTCAGTAACTAATTTTAAAGCATTAAACCTCAATAGGCGAGGTAAGGTGAGATTTGAAGTCTTCCCTTTTAATTTGTGACACTTGAAATATTCTGTCTAAAGTACACACAAGACATGCATTTTTTCTAAAATTTGTGCAAGAAATAGGATCAGGACCTCCCCTCTCCCCCTTGATACCCTCTGAGTACAAGCTTGTTGCTGTCCAAAAGTATTGACTGTGATTGATATTGTGCCAAACATGCAATCACCTAGGCCCTGAGGTTGACTGGAACCACCAAAGGGCTTAAGTTATTGAAATTACATGTAGAATCTAAAAAGATTATTTATGTGTAACATTACCAGTAATTAATACTTAAGCTGCACTTATTAAAAATTCAGAGTTTGAAATAATAGCAATTTTTACTCACCCTGAGTAGTTGATTCTTGTCCAAAAGGACCTGGAGCAGGTGTACTTCCAAACCCTCCAAACAAGCTGGATGTACTTCCGAATGACAAGCCACTTCCATATGCTGATTGTTTAAGAAAATTATATGCACCATTAGTACATACCATACAGGTGAATAGTGCTGATTGGCAGGTTTTGAAGTGATTATCATGTACTGTTTACCTCCAAGCAGATTAAAAGACAAAATCCTGCATTAGTAATTTTATTTCCAACCATTTTTTGGTTTCTTTGTGGTATGTACTAAAACAGTTAATATTCACTTCTGTGTCAGTGAAAGTGGTGGATATTCACCTTGCTGCTTTGTGGCATGGTAAATGTCCACCACTATTCACCTCCACTTCAGTAACTAATTTTAAAGCATTAAACCTCAATTACATTATTTACTTTTCTTAAGTTAAGGGGTGGGGGTGGGGAGATGCTGAATCGGTACCCCACAGGTCTTTGTCAGTAGGACAATGTACATGTAATGCTAGTAATTGGGCAGTGTATACAGACAGTTGACACGTCATGCCTGTGTAAGTGGACAATACTTGTCGTGTGTCCACTTTGTTCTTGCGCAATTTGTTAGGTTTTTTTTATGAAAACATATAACCGATGTCTAATTTCTCTCTCAAACATTGTCACAGTTTTGACTCATTGCATGGTAACAGGACTTCCTTTCATACAATTCTGTCTGTATTCAAACTCATGATCAACAAATAGGCTCCTGTGGAGTATATTGCGCGAAACAAGCCTGCATGTACATAAAAAGATACCACTGACAGTTTCTTTAGAGGGCCACCACTGTTTTTTAGGAAACTCACCCCCATTACCTAAGTACGTGGGGTGACTGGTACTCCAAAAAAAAAATTGGCCAGCACTGCACTTTATTATCTGTAGCAGCAACCAAGAATACTTATGCCTTACATTTCTGATAAATACTCAAGCTCTATATATAACATTAGACTTCAAAATTGGAAATGTTAACTCACCCTTAGCAGACAGAAGCAAATGGTCTAATGTGATGCATGATTAAGCCAACATTCATAAGGTGATGAGTGAAGTTTACAGATAGGTGAGGTAAGGTGATATTTGAAGTCTTACATTTTAATTTTTGTGACACTTGAAATATTCTGTCTAAAGTACACACAAGACATGCATTTTTTCTAAAATTTGTGTAAGAAATAGGATCAGAACCTCCCCCCTCCCTTTGATACCTTCTGAGTACCAGCTTGTTGCTGTCCAAAAGTACTGACTGCAAATGATATTGTACCAAACATACAATCACCTAGGCCCTAAGGTTGACTGGAACTGCCAATGGGCTAGTTATTGAAATTAAATGTAAAATCTAGAAAAGATTATTTATGTGTAACATTACTGATAATTAATACTTAATCTACACTTATTAAAAAATCAGTTTGAAAGAATAGCAGTTTTTACTTACTCTGAGTAGTTGGATTCTGCGCAAAAAGACTTGTACCAGATGTACTTCCAAATATGCCGGTTGTACTTCCGACAGGCTCGCCACTCCCAAATGCTGATTATTTGAGAAAATCATATGCACCATTAGTACATACCATACAGGTGAATAGCGCTCTTCGCAAGTGCTGATTGGCAGGTTTTGAACTAATTAGCAAGTACTATTCATGTCCAAGCAGATCAATAGACAAAATCCTGCATCAGCAATTTAATTTCCTACCATTTTTTGGTTTCTTTGTGGTATGTACTAAAACAGTTAATATTCACTTCTCTGTCAGTGAAAGTGGTGGATATTCACCTTGCTGCTTTGTGGCATGGTAAATGTCCACCACTATTCACCTCCACTTCAGTAACTAATTTTAAAGCATTAAACCTCAATTACATTATTTACTTTTCTTAAGTTAAGGGGTGGGGGTGGGGAGATGCTGAATCGGTACCCCACAGGTCTTTGTCAGTAATTTGTTCAGCCAGTCCTTCACATAATGAGAAAGGTAAATTTGACCCTCTAGCTCTGACCATTCTTTTATGCAAGATTCACAATAAAAGTTTCCTCCATAGGTTTCCTTGCAAAAGAGGATAGCCTCTTTTGAAGAAGTTTTACCTCTGCTGCTGCTTACTTGCGTGTATTGTAATCATGCAAAGTACCTCAAGTGTGTCATTCATACCCAAAAGTAAAAAAGGCAGAAGTTAAAGTAGCACTAAAAAAATCAACAGAACAGTTAAAAGGTGGAAGATTTGGAAAGTGGTGGATATTCACCTTACTGCTTTGCTGCATAGTAAATGTCCTCCACTTATAATATTCACCTCAACTTCAGTAACTAATTTTAAAGCATTAAACCTCAATTGCTTGCTTTGCCTTTTTTAAGTTAAGGGGTGAGGGTGAGAAGGTGCTGAATTTGTACCCCATAAGTCTTGGCCAGTAATTTGTTCAGCCAGTCCTTCACAAAATGAGAAAGGTAAATTTGACTCCCCAGCTCTAACCATTCTTTTAGACTCAGCGATAAAAGTGTCCTATTCTAAGCTCCTAGCAAAAGAGGATAGCCTCTTTTGAAGAAGTTTTACCTCTGCTGCCTCTTACTCGCGTGTATTGTAATCATGCAAAGAACCTTAAGTGCGTCATTCATACTCAAAAGTAAAAAAGGCAGAAGTTAAAGTAGCACTAAAAAAATCAACAGAGCAGTTAAAAGGTGGAAGATTTGTTAAAAATATCTTATTTAGTTCAAATTACTCATGTACCTTGCATACAAGCTTTGAATCAAGATAAATTTAAAAAATACAGAGGAATTAAAGTACTGCTACTTTTAAAACCATGAATATATGCAGGGGGCTGCCATGATGCAGTTATACTCGATTTTGTAAGATCTGTTACCTTCAGAATTAAGAAAAATAAAAAATTATAACCTGGAAAGATTCTTTTTTTTTGTCCTTTGATGAATTTAAACCTCTGAATCTGACCGTATCCAAAAACTGATCCGCACAAAATAAGTAAATGTCATAACACTATGCAAAGGGGGAAATTAAAGGATTCTCATCAAAACTATAATAAAATTCTTGAAAGTGATTGGTTATCCTCATCCCGATTTGAGCATCAGTAGGACAATGTACATAACAGACAGTTGACACGTCATGCCTGTGTAAGTGGATAATACTTGTTGTGTGTCCACTTTGTTGCTGCGCAATTTGTTAAGTTTTGTTTATGAAAACATATAACCGATGTCTAATTTCTCTCTCAAACTTTGTCATAGTTTTGACTCATTGCATGGTAACAGGACTTCCTTTCATCCAATTCTGTCTGTAATCAAACTCATGATCAACAAATAGGCTCCTGTGGAGTACATTGTGCGAAACAAGCCTGCATGTACATAAAAAGATACCACTGACAGTTTCTTTAGAGGGCCACCACTGTTTTTTAAGAAACTCACCCCCACTACCTAAGTACATGGGGTGACTGGTACTCCAAAAAAAAATTGGCCAGCACTGCACTTTATTATCTGTAGCAGCAACCAAGAATACTTATGCCTTACATTTCTGATAAATACTCAAGCTCTATATATAACATTAGACTTCAAAATTGGAAATGTTAACTCACCCTTAGCAGACAGAAGCAAATGGTCTAATGTGATGCATGATTAATCCAACATTCATTAGGTGATGAGTGAAGTTTACAGATAGGTGAGGTAAGGTGATATTTGAAGTCTTACATTTTAATTTTGTGACACTTGAAATATTCTGTCTAAAGTACACACAAGACATGCATTTTTTCTAAAATTTGTGTAAGAAATAGGATCAGAACCTCCCCCCTCCCTTTGATACCTTCTGAGTACCAGCTTGTTGCTGTCCAAAAGTACTGACTGCAAATGATATTGTACCAAACATACAATCACCTAGGCCCTAAGGTTGACTGGAACTGCCAATGGGCTAGTTATTGAAATTAAATGTAAAATCTAGAAAAGATTATTTATGTGTAACATTACTGATAATTAATACTTAATCTACACTTATTAAAAAATCAGTTTGAAAGAATAGCAGTTTTTACTTACTCTGAGTAGTTGGATTCTGCGCAAAAAGACTTGTACCAGATGTACTTCCAAATATGCCGGTTGTACTTCCGACAGGCTCGCCACTCCCAAATGCTGATTATTTGAGAAAATCATATGCACCATTAGTACATACCATACAGGTGAATAGTGCTCTTTGCAAGTGCTGATTGGCAGGTTTTGAACTAATTAGCAAGTACTATTCACCTCCAAGCAGATCAAGAGACAAAATCCTGCATCAGCAATTTAATTTCCTACCATTTTTTGGTTTCTTTGTGGTATGTACTAAAACAGTTAATATTCACTTCTCTGTCAGCGAAAGTGGTGGATATTCACCTTGCTGCTTTGTGGCATGGTAAATGTCCACCACTATTCACCTCCACTTCAGTAACTAATTTTAAAGCATTAAACCTCAATTACATTATTTGCTTTCCTTAAGTTAAGGGGTAGGGGTGGGGAGATGCTGAATTGGTACCCCACAGGTCTTTGTCAGTAATTTGTTCAGCCAGTCCTTCACAAAATGAGAAAGGTAAATTTGACCCTCTAGCTCTGACCACTCTATTAAGCAAGACTCAGCAGTAAAAGTGTCCACCTTTAAGCTCCTTGCAAAAGAGGATAGCCTCTTTTGAAGAAGTTTTACCTCCGTTGCTGCTTATTTGTAATAGTGCACAGAACTTCAAGTGCATCATTCATACCCGGAAGTAAAAAAGGCAGAAGTTAAATTACTGCTCAAAAAATCAACAGAACAGTCAAAAGGTGGAAGATTTGTCCAGAAATATCTCATATAGTTCAAATTACTCATTCTGTAATTAATATACATTCCTAACACAACACTTACTTGTACCTGCGCCAAAGGTAAAATTTTGCGAAGATTCAGACATGCTCGGACGATCTGTTGAAAATTCAAGAATATGGGGCTGATGCTTCAGGAATCAGTACCTTGCGTGTGAAGCCAGTCTAAGCTAACCCGCCTTTGAGCGAGTAAGTTGATTAATAACGAGATAGAAAGCTAGACTAGGGAAATTATCAGGTGAAGTAATCTTACCTTCTCTACAACGTCTTCCCTTCGCCATTAGCAGGCGTTCATGGAAAATACTGTTAACAAATTGGGTCTTGAATAATCCAAACCCCACTGTTGACCGGGAGCCTGCTTCGAACTTAAAAAGCTGGGTCGGGTGCCCAGAATCGAGGCTTAAAACCAGTCTGGGCTTGCACAAAACAAGTAAATGTCGTATCACTACACAGACTGTGAAATAAAAGGATTCTCATCAAAACTTTAACAAAATTCTCTGACGTGATTGGTTATACTTAGCCCGATTTGAGCACCATTTGGGCAGTGTACGCGTCACGCTTGTGTAAGTGGCAGTACTCGTCACGTGTGTGCACTTTTGTCGCGCAATTTGTCGGGTTTTTTTTCATAAAAACTCACAACCGATGTCTAATTTCTTTCTCATCCAACTTTGTCTGTAATCATACTCGTGATTTTTTAATTTTTCACTTTCAACTTTGTTAGGTAAGCACGTGCGTAAAAACAGCTAATTGCTTCTGTTTGCCATTATTGTACCATGTTCTTCTATGGTATATCTCGTCACAATGAAATTTATTTACAAGATTTTTCACTCAAATGTTACTGTGGTATTACTGATTACAAAGGGAAATCTACCTTAAGGATCAAAAATTTTATTATTTCAACTTCACAAATAGACGAGTTTTTGTACTCTGTCCACACCTTACTGAAGACTAACACAAATATTTTTGTTCATATTTTTGACGAGAAAATTATCCCACCAGATAACATATTAGACACGCTGAGCCAAGCCACATTTTATGCAGCAGAGTTTTAGAAGTACGTTCTCTCAATAGGTTCTATTATTGACACTGAATGAAATCAGGCACACAAATTAAAGACACATTAAAACATATGCAATCTTGTCTTTTGTCACGTGTTTAGGGTACCAAAAGAAAGCAGAGATGACATCAAACTTATCCCAAGGGGTATAAAAATATAACACACTTAAAACAAAAAAAAAAGAAACTTTGGCAGTGTTAGAGAAACCACAGAACATGTGGTTCTTCAGAGACATAAGGCACACTATTTGCCCAGTTACCATTTCACTTCCTGTAGTATCTGAGCAAAATAAACTCCAAGATTACCCCTTGAAAAATCACCACTTTCTGATACTTATTTGGATCATTGTCAGTATCTGAGACACTGCGTGCACCCCCCCTCCCCTAACCTAACAACAGTCAACTGATAACAAGTTAGGAGAGGGGTAGGAGTGAAGTAACTCAGATACTGACAGAGACCACTTATGTTTCCTATGAGATATGCTATGATCTTAATGAGGGCAAATCACTTCAAGAGTTGTAGTGACATGCTTTTAGTTAGACTCCTCACTTTCTGCTTCATCAGCTTGTGCTTGACTGACCAGCTCTGTGTCACACAGTTCACACTTCGTCTTACCAGGCTCATTAACCAAGGTGCATATGGGACACACACTGCGCCCTTCTTGAGCGTCTACCTCTTGCAAGGTGTCACACCGAATTACGGTCAACTCGCCGACAGTCCAACTCGCCGACGCCAACTCGCCGACGTGTAAAATCGTATAAAAAAAAAAACGTAAAAATATCGTTTAATTTTCTGTATGTTTAACTTCTAATAAGTTGTATTGGATTGACGACCAACTCGCCGACGTTTCTACTCGATTTTATACGTCGGCGAGTTGGCGTCGGCGAGTTGGTCCATCGGCGAGTTGACTGGTTACCGTCACACCCTAGGCACACCAGCAATTGTGGTCTGTTTATCATGGTACACTGCTTGCATTCCCAGGGGGGTCCTTCCTCTTTCTTTGGCTTCCTTTTCTCTACCTTGCTCCTAGTCCTCGGTTGTTCTCTACCCCTGGTTGTAAGCAGGCTTGACACAAATCGATGTCCACTTGGACTCTTTGGGCACGTGTGTGACAAGGATGCACAAGTTGCACAGTAAAAATGCTGACAGTGTAGGCACCTTTTTGATGCACATGCTGTAGGGTTCTGGCAGTCGGCAACAGAACAATGAGTTCTGTCCCTGGGTAGCATACTGCTGACTGTCCAGACTTCTAAAGCCATCTGTAGACATCAGTCTTTGCCTAGGGAGAAGTAAGGTGCTGTCTAGGCTGAGAGGTCCCCCTGATTTGCTGAGGGTGTTAAACTCCATTCATCACTTGAAGTTGATTGTCTCCTGTTGTCAGTATCAACACCTGAAAACCAAAAAGCCAGTAAGGCTCAGACACCATCCATGAATAAGAGGAGCTAGGGCAAGGGGGGGGGGGGGCAAAAAATGCACTTCACAAGAGGAGGGTCAAGAAACTCTGACCATGAGCTCCCTCAATTTGTCCTGGATCTCCTCATATCTAAATAGTAACCAATCCAAAAGCAAATAGAGGTATTGCAAAAATATAACTCACATATGTGATAGGTAGAACTAACCATCTAATCATTGGGAACACATGAAGTAAGATAAAGAAATACCTTCTGAATTTGTTGTATCAGTATTTACTCCACTTCTTCCACTTGTCAGGGAAACTACATCACCTGTATGCAAAGACAGGGAAGTAACAGACCTGTTGATCAACTTCTTTTCAAAATGTGTTTACAAGATTGAAAGGATTACTTAGTGCATTTTTTCTGCAGCCATATTCCTTATACAACTTGGGTTTGTGTCTCAGAGCACCTTTACTGTTGTCTATGCACTAGAAGATTAAGCCTGAATTTTTTCAGGTTTGTAATTTGAAATCTGTTTATACTTTATCCTAAACTTATTCCCTCTTGGTTTATTATAGCTTGTTCAATTTGTGTTTGCCTATCTCAATGAGTGTTTACAATCTCATACTGAAAGAACTCGCCTAATATCAAAAGCAAAATGATTTTATAATAATGAACTAGAGGTACCAAAAACAAGTACAAAAACTCTGTAAAGAGACTAACCCAAGTACATGGAGCTTAACAAACTTGATTGGCTCTTTGGAATCAGATGGTATGATAAAAGACTTGATATATTCTGCACAGTATTCTTTTTCACTATATTTCAGTGTGAAAAATTACAAGGGAAATTCACTCTGATCACAGGCTGCTATAGGTATCAAAGACTCCCATCCATTTTGTTGATACCTACATTGCAGCTTCTGTGAGTCTGGGTCAGGAAGGTAATCTGTGACACACTGAAGTAAAGAACAGCAAACCGACCACTCATTAAAATAGCTCAAATGTTGAGTATGTTGTTGGCTGCAGTGACTGAGGTTTGAAAAACCCCTCTCAACTGACAATAACTCTTCAACAAGTCTAATGATAATTTCCAATAAGGTTGCTGAAACATTAGTCGCTAAGACCAACAAAATTCCCCATCAGACTACCCTCTGCCAGACAAACAGAGTACATGATCAAATATTATTTCAAAATAAGGTCAAAACATTTACTGCAAAAGTATATTTGTTACCTCTAGAATCCACATTCTGCAAGGGTCTTTGCCAGTAGGTTCTGAGCCTTCCATTCACAAAGCTTAGGAGCTGTCCTCTGTTTGTTGCTAAATACACATTCACATTATCATATGCAGAATTACCCCCAAATTCCCCTACATTTAAGGGTTCTCTTACATGGCAGCATGTTGCTATGGGAACATACAGATTTGGAACCAATGAGACTTCTTGAACATCTTTATGAGTATGATTGACACATGTCCATCTTTTTAAGGTGCTGGTATCATCTGTCATTTCTGATTTTACTCCCATGGAAACAACTTGGCCCCTTAATAATCCACACCAGAAGACAGTAAATTCCACACTTGATCTTTCATTCATAGAGTTATCAACCGTTACAGAATCAGTTGTAAACTTCTCAAACGGCATCATAGCATGCAAAGTACATAACCCCTTCAAAATTCCAACAAACTGTGGGGCCATCACAAAAATAAAATTCAATATTCTGTGTTGGTGAGACGTGACTTATTTCAAAACTGCCTCGCAGAATAACCGAATCATAGTCTTCTAGAAGTAATACATGCAGCTCCTGTGTGCTGGAATGCTTCATTCGAATCTGGCGTAGCAAAATAAAAGGCTGGTACATTCCTGTAGTTGAGTTCATCAAACATTTTGCAGAAACGAGTTCCAGTTCGTGTCCTAATATTCCAAGGGGTAGCAGTTGCTTTGCAGTCCTTGTGAAGGATCTAGAGGATTTAGAAAAGCCAAAGATTTGAACTTCAATACAGTTTTCATCGTTGCTGCCCATATTTAAAAGAGAAAAGAATATCACGTCGCCTCTAAAGGTCGTAAACACTTTGCTGACGGCCATGACATCGGCCATGTTTTAAAGTCTGCTGCAAGACGCGAAATTCCCGCGGAATTCTGGTGGCAGCTCACCCCCAGTCTTTCGGAAGTTCCTAAGTGAGGTGCTCTGCGACCTAGCCTCAGGACTGACTGACTTTCTGGTGTCTCTGATGAAACTCTGGAGGCCTTTAGAGATAGCCCTTGTGACAAAGTTTTCGTAACACTGATTAAAATATAAATTCCATGCCCTCACAGTAATGCTAAAGGAGATTGGAACAACATCTACTCTTATCAGTGTACCGAAGACGCTGTCACAAAAGCTCTCCCCGTTACGACCTAAGAAGAGTTTGTTCGGTGTTCCTGTTAGGACCTTGTTAGTTCAGAAATAGTTGTTCTTTATTACTCTTTGTACACAAAGTTTGAATTGAAGACTGAAAGATGAAAAAAGCCCAGTCAAGTTTAACCAGACTTATCTGGCCAGTCAGTTCCGACTGATTGTAACTAATCATCAAGAGCCCGGGCCCAATAACCATCGCAGAACATGTTTTGATTTCTCTCAAGGAACGCCAGATCAAACCAATTTTGCACAGTTCTTGATACTACTTAAACGCTTCCCTAATTCGCTTAAATATATCATCTTCGCGCAAACTTGACGAAAGGTCCTAGAACTGGAACAATAAACATCAGGCACCCGCCAGAACCTAACTTACGAAGGTAGCAAATTTCGCACTAAAGGAATGAGCGCCGAAGCCGTGAGAGGCTTGGCACGGAAGATATTTTCGCAGCTCATCACTTAGCACAAAAACAAACAAACAAACAATCAAAACAGAAAAAAACAAAACAAAACAAAACTAAAAACAAAACATGCAAATCAACGAGCTACACAGGCGATCCGTAACTGTTTAAAGCTATTTCCTTTAATTCAATGCATCGTACAAATCTACAAAATACCGTTTTACTGTGAGTAGATATGTATTTGCAAGTCAAGGCATAATGGCTAATTATATAGGCAGACACTAAAAATTTAAAGAGAAACTACTAGCATCATTTGTTATACTGTGTAACTGCGGATCGTTCGAGAAGTCTCAAATTTTCTTTTCCCTAGTTAATTTTTCTCTCACAGATTCTATGAACGTTCCAATTTTTTGCCTTTTTTTGCATGACAGATATTGTTTCTTGCGTTTTGAAAATTTTGATCTTGCTTGGATTTTGGCGCACGGCTGGCCAAAATTGATCCGCTTACGCATGTCCGACTTATGTTCCCAGTCTCTTCCCGTCCAAACATTAATTTTGCGTTTCCTATCCCACCATGCTCGAGGGACCGTAAAAGAAAAAACCAGAATACAAGTAATCTACTTGTTTTACGCTCCCTTCACGTGATAAGTCTAGAAAAACAGCGATACTATATCGGAGACAGTGGACGTTCAATTCGTTGGGTATTTGATCCAAGTTCAATGTTTAATCGTCAGTCTCGATCTCTTGTTTAACATTGTCACTGCCATCGTCACCATCTGCAACTGAAAAAAAATCAATGTGAATATACACCTCATCATATAGACTCAAAAGTAATTGAGAAAGGCGAGGGTTGGTTAAATTTCTTATGTTATAGGATAGCTCACCCCATTAATAACTCGATCCATTAGTCCACAAGTATATGTGCACACTAGTAATCATTATTTTAGCAGCCACTCGTAGGCACATTACTGAAAACGTAGCGCGCTTGTGTTAGATAGATTCTAGATTAATATTGCAGTAAGGATCAATAGTGACTCCTTTTTATCTTCTTTATCAAATGGAAAGTTTATGTACTTATACAAAAAAAAAAATGATGATTCTTCATGAAGAGAATGGAGTTAAAATTAACTGACCTGCGATTCCGTCCACTTTTCTAAGCATCTCATCCAGTAATCCAGTTATTACTTCTCCAGAGCTTTGTGAATCTGTTGATATCTGCAGGTTAGGATCAACAAGCACTCCAACTTCATTCTCATCGCCATTAACTTTCTCGTCACCGTTGCAATCAAGATCATCTTTTTCGTTGACATCTAAGAAGTGGAATATTGAAAACAAGAAAAAAAATTACACACGTGCTCACATGGAATGCATATTCAATCCGTTAAACAAACAGACCGAAGACTTCTGACTCACCTGGATCCACTAGGGCTGAAGGACTGTTGTCCCTTACTTGTGCCGTCAAGCCAGAGTCAGCAGTTTCCACCAGATCTTGCGGTGTATTATGAGTTGTGCTTTCCTGTGGATCCTCTGTTTGAACCTCAGCATCCTTGGTTTTCCCTTCCTCCCACATCTCATGCTCGTTGAAGTCGTAAATAGAGCTCCCTGGAAACAAAATATAGATAAATTTTAGTCTTGTAGACATATCGCACTGCCATATCGAATTAAGCAAAAAAAGAAGATTTTCTTGACGCGTGCTTTCATCACACGCAGTTTTGACATTTTTCATTATCTACGACTTTTAAAACATCATTAACTAAACCAACCTTTTTGGCCTGGCTTTAGCATCTTTACTCCACCGATCTGTGTTTCAAGCGAATCTAAAAGATTATACTCAAAGTAACATGTCAAATTGTCTGTTTCTGCCGGCTCCAGCTCACACTTCTCCATGAAAGCGGAGACCTCATCGATGAGACTATATATTTTGGGCTTCTCGTCAACCAACGCACTGTCATTCTTTTGACACAACTCGCACAAAAGAAGCGCTAACTCACACTTGTTCAAAATACCTGACATGGTCCTAAACAAGCAACACATAACAAATTACGCTGGAGTTCCCAGAAATCGCGTCCTTAGTTCGTGCTGTTACTGTTAAACTCATACCTGAAGTAAATTGGAGTGATTTTTATTGAGTGTTTAAAACAAAGTCATTTTAGCGGCCAATCGTTAAAAATGGGAAACATTACAGGAAGCTGATTGGAACTCAAATTAATCAAAGGCAAGCGACCTGAAGAGCGCGAATTGACCTCTCGTGTTTCCATCGCTTTGAAAGTCCTTAAGTCCTCGATTGCAAGCCTCAGTGAAGCGAGGCCAAGAAGGCTTAATTGCATGCACATGAAAGTACTGATAATAATCAAGCCCGACATTACAAAAGAGGTCTATACGAGACAAACCTCTCTTGATTATTCAAAAACATTATCTTCTGGTTCGTTTTATCGTTTACAGCATCCCTCAGCGACGTTTCTCCCATACTCATGTGAGCATGTAACAATGTCATGTGTTTTCCGATCCTGTCTTGCAGATAACTTTGAGTAGCCAATACAGAATCCTTCGTGTTATTCACTTTTCCTATTGACTTCTTGATCAATTCACAGTGATCGCCCAATTTTTTAGATACGCTGCTTAGATCCCCACGTATCGTGGTGGCAATGTCACTGACAAGCTCGCATTCGTGACCCACATGACTGCCATAGAACTAATAGAAAATAACAACAAAATTGAGCTGATTTGCATGCATGTAACTTAGAGTTCCCCACAGGAACATTCTAAACTAGATGTACAGAACCAAAAGAAAGCTAAAGGACTGTCCGTAACTACTTGTAGATCACCATCCTGCTGATCGAATGTTTTCAAATGTGAATTCATTTTTTTAGAAAGAGGTGAACTCTATTTTTCTGATCTAATCTCCCTAATCACCCTAATCATTAAAAACAGCATACGGCAGTTTGCGGCCTTTCCCTACAAGGCAGTTCGGAAAGCCGCAAAACTCTAGAACAAAAATTTATCTTCCAAATGGGCACTCTTAATCCCCACGGAATCAACGAGTGCTTTTCATTCAATTAATTTATTCTTGTTTTCCTGTCACCATACTCCCACCAATAGCGTAGCTCCATTTTCTACATATAAACCCACACACAATCTACAATTCCTCTAATCGCTCTGACTAAGGGTTAACGCTCGAGACGTCAGCCTTTACGGCGGCCAATTTGCGTTTTCAACTTAGTTGATAACACTAAATACCCTGATCTACTTCTCTGTGTTTGGCAGGAGCAACTCTTAGTGTATAGGAAGCAGGTCAAGGGAGAGGGACGGGTGGAAACATGGCAAGCTCGCCGAGTGGACAAAACTTAAAACTTAGTCAATCAATAGTCATTTACGTGCTTGGTTGCCAAGCCTTTGAACAAGAGTAAAGGTAACCTGGTTATGATACAAACGTCGCTGTTTTTTAAATGTAAATTACTTTGTTATCATGCTAACTAGATACTGGTCTCTATCACAACGAGGTCACCTTCAACCTCACTCCAAGTCAAAGGCTTGGCAACTATGGACACAACTGTAAAATGGCCCATTCCAAGCCTCACACTAGTGGCGTACCAGGCTGTTTTGTTAGAGTCTGTGAATAATGAGAGTGCCACTTGTGCATTTCGCGGCTCCGATGCCTTTTCTTCATCGGAGCGCCCTTAAAAGAAACGCCTGCTACACAGACAATCATTCAAGGATATGAGTAAAGGAGAGAATTTCCTATGAGTTTTACATGATTTCCAAGAGTTGGGAAGAACTGAAATTTCTTAGCCGGTATAAGATTTTGACTTCTTGGAAGGACACTACGCAGGTAAGCAATTTTACCTGGCAATAAATGCAGATGAGGCATTTATCTGTGTGACAGTAAACTTTCAGAGCTTCGTTGTGTTCCGAACAAAGATATGTCTTGCTTTCAAACCTGGTGGCTTTTCAAAAACAAATTGCAAATATTACATAACCAAGCAACAGCCACGACAAAAATCGATGAAATCAATAAACCCAACACCTACCTTCGGGTCTTTGTACGCGCCCCTGAAGTAAATAATCTTCTAATCTGAGTTCCTATGGAAAACAGAGCTTTAATCAAAGCTTATCGTGACTGATAACAAGCAAACATTAAAATGATAAGCGACATAAAAATCAAATACAGTCTCCAAGCATTTTTCTCAAACAGAGGTTAAAAGTTAAGTGCAAAAAGGTCGGAAGGCAGTTGAAGGTAGCTAACTTCAAGCGTTTGATGGTTACCATTCACTTCGCCATCGAGGTTACCGCTCACTTAGCAACATGTCAATTCGACGACACCATAAGTCACCTCGCCGACATTACTGGCCAGCTCGACGATAGCGCGCCGACAAACTCAGTCAACTCGCTGACAACTTTGGTCAACTCGCTGACAACTTCGGTCAACTCGCTGACAACTTCGGTTAACTCGCTGACAACTTTGGTCAACTCGCTGACAACTTCGGTCAACTCGCTGACAACTTCGGTCAACTCGCTGACAACTTCGTTTAACTCGCCGACAATAATTTTTGTTGCTCCATTTGGAATTTTGGTAGGACAGATGAAACCATTACTTTTAATAAATATTCTCAAGATAAGCTTTGATAACTTTAAATTATTGTTTCGTATGGGACATCTTTCATCAAAGGTCATTTGACTTATCGTTAACTTCTTAAAAATAAGATGCGATCTGATTCCTGAATAGTCAGTTTCAAGCTCCGTTCTTAGTGAAATTAATATTAGGCTGGAGAGAGACACCCTACCCCTGTCTGATTTCTCAGGCTGGAGGGGTCGGTCAGTTACTGCAAAAAGGCGGAAGGACTGTTACAACTACGTTTCAGTGCTGCATCAAACAAACGGAAAGTCCATTTTTTCCCGCTATTCTGCAACCTCGTCCATGAGGACGTCAAGTTCATTCGGATCCCAATATTTTATCACTTAAATTTTCATGGCATAACGTTGGCCAGCAATGTTCAAGGGTTCACGAGGTTCTTCTGCACACTCTACGCACTGATAAACTCATGCCTATGATCTTAACTTCCCCGATATGGGTAGGACTCCTATTTCAAAACAGCAAAGAACAAACACAGTTTGGTATTGATACTGAACTTCATTTGCTCATTTAGAGCGCTTGACAGGAAAGTAGATCCACTATTCTCAGTCATTTGAAGAAATTGACGCTATTTCAGGAAAGACTCCTATTACTGCGTTTTCAAGCAATGATTCGTAACCTCAGTGCTATTGACCTTTTTTCCTGCCAACGATAAATATCTGAATCATTTAAGTTTTTTCTCCTGTTTTTACGAAGCGAATGACGATAACTCATGTAATAAATTTTTCTTGATTCGTGGATTCTTCCCGCTCAAATTGTGTCCAAGATTTCATAAGAATAGCAGTCAATGTTGTTTCTTTTTAACACACCTCTAAGCTCTTATTATCGTAATTTGCCATCACTGTGATGCATTGATGTCTGACGCTGATGTTTGTTGTGATGCCTTTTTTGACCATGCTATCAGTTCCTGGAACAACCTAAAAAAAACGACAATAGTGCCAATAATTTCAATTCTTTTTCACTCGCCTGATAAAATTTATGTGTCCCAAACTAATTGGACGCTGGGTCAGTTTTTCGTTCCTTTTTTTATCATTTTAACAACTTCCAACTGGTTGTTATGGCCAAATTTTCCTGGTTAAGTACCTGACTCCAATTGGTCAGTAACATTTACAAGTAGCAGTACATAACAGAACAAGAGAGATGGTAAGTTTTGAGCTCGGTAAAGAAATAGAGAAAGATGTTTTTTGTCTTGTCACGAGCGTGGGACAAAGAAAAAATTCTGAGTCCCCATAAGGAATCGAACCTCAGACCTTCGGATTCTGCACTCCGATGCTCTACTACTTAGCCACAGACTCTCCAGTGACCGAGGTCTATTACGAAGTTCATGATACCCGTCCTGCATACTGTTAGGATCGGCAATGTCGATAGCGTCATGTTTGTAAATAGAATAAGAGAGATCGTAAGTTTTGAGCTCGGTAAAGAAATAGAGAAAGATGTTTTTCGTCATTTCATGAGCGTAGGACAAATAAGAACATAGTCAAGCAACTCAAGTAAAGCTCTGCAAATGATCCTTAGACATATAAAGAGTATGCCACATCATAGTTCAGTATCACTTAACTGCATCCACTTACATAGAATTTTACAGGTGTTCCCAGCCAGTCCATGCTTATATCTCCTGTCATATGAGAAAAAAAAAATAAAAAAAAGAGAGATCAGAGACTGGGAAGCAAGGAAGCAAAGGAATGACTTCTTGTTGCTAACAGAAGGAAGTAGAAAGAAATAAAAACTTGTGACAAATTCATAACTCATCCTGTTCAAAATAGTTTTGCTACTTAACCTTACACATTGAGTTATCCACCATGAAACAATGAAATATCCCACAAAGTTGAAACTCTGAGGCATTAAATCAATAATTTCTCCATTCAATTATATGCCTTTCTTGTGACTCAGTTTTAGATTACAATTGAATTTAACTGTTCTGCCTTCAGTTTTTTTTTAATTGTTTCCCAGAGTAAGAAAATGTTACAAATGGCACTCTGGGTAAAGACTTGTAAGTGCACGTCTCCTCTTTTTCACTACATTTATGTACTATTCTTGTAATTTGAACATAATTAGCAAATAAATTTATTGGATTTTAATAGTTACAGTTAATATTAGCAGCTAACTGTAGCATTCTTTCAAATTTTTTTTTTTAAACTCTGTTATGATTCACATCATTACTGCAACTATTATCTGTATTGCAAGTCCACCTAAGGTAAAAGTGGAATCTTATAACATAAAACAAATGTAAGAGGCATGGTAGCCTGAAGATGCATAGTGGCCTGGAGAAGCGTAGTGGCCTAATGGTCAGTACACTGGACTCCAGATCAAGAGGCCTGGCTTCAAAACCTGGCTGGGACTATGCGTTGTGTTCCTGGGCTAGATACTGTACTTTCACAGTGCCTCTCTTAAGGACACACTTAATTTGGAACCTTGCTCTGTTGTGTGTCCTGCACCTTAATGGTGAAAATGATTGAAAAAAAATAATGGGAAATTCAAAGTTCACATGGGAAAATCATTGAAAAGTTCACAAAGGAAGGGTATTTATAAGGTAGCACTTCCATAGACACAAAACATGTTAGAACCCTCCTTAGCTCCATTCCCAAGGGCAAAAAATAATACAGCCAAACTAATCAAATAGCAGATTTCCTTGTGCTATAGGACCCTTGGCTTGATTGCCATATGCTGAGCAGAAAATAAGCCCACACTCCTTCCCTTAACTGCTCAGAAGGATCAAATAGTGCACCCATACCATGCTCTTCTACTGAAATTTAATTTAAGGTACATTGAAGCATTTTTCATCCATTCCGTATTTATACCTCATGTTTTAAAATTCTCTTCACTATAATATCAATATACCACATGTAAAGGAATTAAAACAGAAAATTCATGATAAGAAACTGGATAATACTTAGGTTGCACCTGCATCTGCATCAGTCCTTCAATATATCACGAGTAAGAACCAAAACCATTCAAAACTGGTCCATGCAAAAGTGTTAAATTCAAAGGCCTTTAATTTAAGTCTTGAAATTATGGTTCCAAACGAATGCCTAATGTAGGATCTAGATCTGTTAAAAAAACTCAGAATTACAATTACATTGATGCTTTACAAATACCTCGAATTTCAAGCTTGCTGTCGAGCGAGTCAGTTGATCAAGAATGAGAGAGAAAGCTAGACCATGAAAATGATCAGGAAAAGATGAATTTTCCTCCTCTGCGACGCCCTTCCTTTCTTGTAATCAGGTGTTATTACTGTTAATCGAAAAATTAAGATAACTCATTATAACCTCGCAACCTTACGATTTCAAACGTGGAATGCTGGGTAAGGTGCGCAGAATCGAGGCTACTTTATATGCAAGAAAAAAAATTAAACACATTTTTAAAAAAATGAAACAAAAAAAACAAAACAAAAAAAACCAGTTTGAGCACAGGAAGCCCAAATTCGTAAAACGAGTCTTGGTAAATATGTAAATGACGTTACACTGCGCAAATAGAAGAAGTTATATGTGGAAATCAAAACTTTGCTCTTGAAGAAGAATATGCTGAAAAATCTTACGGAAAAAAGACATTTAAACAGCTAATTGCTTCTGTTTTCCTTTATTGTACATTGTTCTCCAACAGACTATATTGTTACACTGAAATTTATTTACAGAGAACTCCACACAAATTTTCCTGATGTTATTACTGATTACAAAGAAAAATCTACCTTTTAGGGCCAAAAATTTTATCACTTTAACTACACAAGTAGATTAGTTTGTGTATTCTGTCTACACCTTCTTGAAGACTACTATAAACATTTTTGTCCATATTTTTGACAAGAAATTATTCCACCAGGTAACACATTAGTCAAACCACACTGCACCTTATGCAGCAGAGTTTTACAAAGGATTTACTCCAAATGAGCTCTACCATTGAAATACACTGAATGAAATAGGAAAAAAATTTAAGACACATTTGAACATTGGCAATCTTGTCTTGCTTCACGTGTTTACATTGCTCAAAGAAAGTAGAGATGACTTCAAATGTTTCCAAGGGGTATAAAAATATAACACACTTTTAACAAAAAAAAACTTTGGCAGTCAAAATGAGTGTTAGAGGAACAACAGAACATGTTTGTGTTTCTTGAGACATACGGCAAATTGTTTGTCCAGTTACGATCTTGCTTCATGCAGTATCTGAGCAAAATAAATCCCAAGATTATCCCTTAAAAAATCACCACTTTGTGATAATTATTTGGATCAATGTTGGTATCTGAGCAACTAACCTACCTCCCCCTCCCCTAACCCAACAACAGTCCACTGATTACAAGTTAGGGTTAATATTGTGTTAGGGGAGGGGTTGGCGTGTAGTAGCTTAGATACTGGCTGAGACCACTTATTTTTCCTATGTAGAATACTATGATTTACTTCCTAAGAGCAAATCACTTCAAGAGTGGAAGTGACATGCATTTAGTTAGGACTCCTCAGTGTCTGCCTCGTCAGCTTGTGCTTGACTGACCAGCTCTGTGTCACACAGTTCACACTTTGTCTTACCAGGCTCATTAACCAAGGTACACATGGGACACACATTGCGCCCTTCTTGAGCATCTACCTCTCGCAAGGTGTCACACCCCAGGCATACCAGCACTTGTGGTCCGTTTATCATGGTACACTGCTTGCATTCCCAGGGGGGCCCTTCCTCTTTCTTTGGCTTCCTTTTCCTTACCCTGCTACTAGTCCTTGGTTGTTCTCTACCCCTGGTTGTAAGCATGCTTGACACAAATCGATGTCCACTTGGACTCTCTGGGCACATGAGTGACAAGGATGCACAAGTTACACAGTAAAAATGCCGACAGTGTAGGCACCTTTTTGATGCACGTGCTGTAGGGTTCTGACAGTCGGCAGCAAAACAATGAGTTCTGTCCCTAGTAACACACTGCTGACTGTCCAGACTTCTAAACCCATCGGTGGACATCAGTCTTTGCCCAGGGAGAAGTAAGGTGCTGTCTAAGCTGAGAGGTCCCCCCTGATTTGCTGGGGGCGTTAAACTCCATTCATCACTTGAAGTTGATTGTCTCCTGTTATTAGTATCAACACCTGAAAACCAAAAAGCCAGTAGGGCTCAGACACCATCCATGAATAAGAGGAGCAAGGGCGGGGCTCTTAGATTCATCCAAACATAAATTTGATATGAATAAAAGAGGGGGGGAAGCAAAAAATGCTCTTCACAAGAGGAGGGTTGAGAAACTATGAACGTGGACTCTCTCCATTTGTCCTGGATCTCCTCCATATCTTAATAGCAACCCATCCAAGAGCAAATAGAGGCGTTGCAAAAATACGACACATATGTGACTGGTTGAGGTAACCATCTACTTACTCATTAGGAACACATGTGGTAAAATAAAGAAATACCTTCTGAATTTGTTGTATCAGTATTTACTCCAGTACCTCCATTTCTCAGGGAAACTACATCACCTGTATGCAAAGACATGGAAGTAACAGACCTGTTGATCACCCCCTTTTCAAAATGTGTTTGTAGGATTGAAAGGATTACTGAGTGCATTTTGTCTGAAGCCACATTCTCTATACAAACAGGGTTTGTGTCTCAGAGCACCTTTATGATTTTCTATGCACTAAAAGATAAATCCTGAATTTTTTCAGGTTTGTAATTTGAATTCTGTTTGTACTTTAACTTAGGCTTACTTGCTCTTGGCTTATTATCACCTATTCAATTTGTGGTTTTCTATCTCAATGAGTGTTGACAATCTCAAACTGAAAGAACTCACCCAAAGCAAAATGATTTTATAATGATGAACTGGAGGTACAAAAAACAAGTACAAAAACTCTGTACAAGATGCTGACCTAAGCACATGGAGCTTAACAAACTTGATTGGCTCTTTGGAATCAGGTGGTACATTTTGATTACAGGACCCATAATGTTACAATAGGTTAAAATTTGCTATAAGTTTGCAAGTCTCTAAGACTGGAACAAAATATTGTGAATCAGCTCATGCAATGTATATTTTTCTGCTTTAATATTCATTTTTCCTTTTTTGCTAACTTACCGCAGCATCATCTGACAAAGGAAAAACAGAAAAGTGAATGACTGAGCCAACAATAACCATAAGACACACATCAGTATGACACATTACAAGTGTAACTAACCATTGGGACTGAGAAGTCGAAGTCTATCAATTTCATCCTGTAATTCATCAAGCAAACTTGTTTGGTTCTCTTCCGAATTTCTTGAATCTCTCAATTCTTCACTGTGGCTGCTAGGCAAAGTCTCCCCACCCACTGCTCCCTCAAGCTCAGTATCACTCTCTATTTCCTCTGCATCTGAATGGTCTGAGGTCCCACCTAGAGGGTTAAATGAAATAGCAAAGATTATGTCTTTGATCTCCTCTTTAAAGGAAAGTACAAATTGTACAGTTGTCAAAAGACTTTGTAAAAAGTCCTTTCACATAGAATTTTCAGGTTTAAAAAAATTTTAAAGCTTTATTAGCTTTGCTGGTCAAAGACAACCTAACATGTCAGGTCCTCTGCTTTCAATCCATGGCCTTGTGGCAAAAATATTGAGATTTTAAGACTTCTAAAAAAATTAGCATTATAAAACTTCCTGTATATTTTTAAGAAGGCTTCCAAGATTTTTTAAAATGATTATATCAACAATTTTAGCAACAGTTCCAATGCCCCAGATCAAGACCTATCCCGAGGGAATATTTTCAAAATTATCTCTATGGCAACCAGACATGTCTGTACCATCATGTGCTAGTTTACACTAACCCAACTCATTTAGACCTGACTCTGAGCTACTGTGGTCAGGACTTTCAGGTTCGAACACAGGTAACCCAGGAGCTGGACTTTCATCCCATCTTGGTTGCGTCAAACGTGTGTGAACAATTTCCTCCAATCCTTGCAATAGGCTTTGAAACAGGGGGTTTTCACCATTTTCCTGAAGATCTTCTGTCTGTGTCTCAGCATCATACATTTCTTTTTTCCCTGACAGTTCATGTTTGTTCAGCCCAGCCAGAGGCTCCTCTGTGAAAAACAAGTTATGAATATGTTGTTGACAAGCATCATGAGGTCAAAATGGCTGTGAATACTGGAAGGTTTTTTTCGTATGTTATTGTTGACTGGGATGAAGTTGAGGTCCATAAAAATGCAAAAAGTGACCAGTTCCCTGCAAGCAGGCTTAGAGAACAGATCAAGGTAGTGAATATATTGAGCATTTGAGCATGTGAGAGGGCTGGCGCGAAAAATGATGACTTTCATTTTCATGTGAGAGCTCTTGCTTGCTGGTTAAAAGCTCCAGCACATTAGTGCTCATGTTGCAGTGATAAAAGAGGACCTGCTTTCCAGATGAGATGCCATTACCTATTAGTCATCTTGCCTTTTTAAAGTGGGTTGCATTTAAATGCAAAAAGAGAGGCCAGTGACTTCTGCTCCAACTGAATTGTTTTTTGTTCATAATTCAAACCGCAGACAGCTCTTGTCATAATGGAGGGTTTCAAAACTCTTCTACAATGACATATGCCATAATTCATTCTATACTTTCCAGATCTATACCAATAGTTCCCAAATTATAGAATTCCCGATGACCCATAACAAACCTTTCTGGCCTGGCTTTAGGACTCTGATTTCCCCAATCTGTGTCTCCAGAATGCAAGTGATATCATACTCAAAGTAATAAGTTAGATTGCTTGTTTCCTTGGGCTC